CGGTCCCGCCGCGCATTCTCGCGAAATTATTGCCTACCGTGACTCTCGGACCTTCCGCCGATGCCGGCTGCGCGACGGTGTCTTGAGATTGGAATCGTAGGCGAGCGAGACGACTGCTCCCACGAGGGTATACCGAAATATCGAAGGCCGCAAAGAGGAACGATTCTTTCTCCTTCCCTCCGAGTCTCGTCCGTGGATGTCGCGACAACGATTCTTCATCCGAAAAGGATCACCTGTCGGAATTTATGATTTATATTTCCACGGATAATCGTAATTGTTTCACGACGATTACATCTCTTGCTCTCTCTTCGCTTCGAAGTATCAATGACACGCAACGGTTCCCGGTCGGGAAAGAATCGCCTTCAGTCTTCGCAGTTTTTAAGTCAACTCAAGTTCTCAAATCTCCCGCGGATGTAATTCTTTAATGACAATTATATTTCGTTCTCTCTTCCTCTCGCATAAAGCGAGATCCAAGTCAAGATGACGCTTCTTGATCCGCGAACAACCGTCCCCCCCCCCCGTCTTTCACAGCTTCGAAGCCGACTTTTGATGACGGCGATAATCTGACGGCGCCATCGCCACGTTCCGCGGTAATTAATTTGTGCCACATCTCGCCGGCGCGGGATATACCCCTGAGAAGGAAGGTCCTGGGCTCTCGCGGTCGCGTCTAACCCGGTCGACGTGATTCTAATGAGAGGAGCCGTACATTTTAATAAGTTCCTCCGAAAAATTCCGACGGCGCCGATGGCGGTTCTTGCCGATGGTTGCTGCGCGCTCCTCCGAGTCGAGTCCGTGCTGCCCCGAGGACGTTCCCATGAGTCGGGGGCGGCCACACCGACGCTTTCGTAGGCTCTCGGGGGAGCTGTGGAGGAGATGCTGGGCCCGAGAGCAGCCGGGGGCCATGCCATGTTCCTCGTGAGCGGTGCGTGCAACCGCGCGCTGGCAAACACGTTATTACGCGAACCCTTAATAACCCACCGAGAGTTAACCTCTGCCTCGCTGTCTCTCTCTTTCTCTCGAGCTCGCGGAGGATCCCACTTGTCTCGCTTCTTCCTCTTCTTCTCCGCCGCCGCCGTCTCTCCTCCTTCGCTTCGACCCGGCTATCGGATTAGTTATTCCGCCAGCGACGTGCACGGTAGCCCCGGTTGCCTTCGATGCGGCTCCGAAACGCGTCGTCGCTTTCGCAGAGAGGGAACGGCTCTGCCGCTTGCTTGTCTTTCTTTGCTTCCTTTCTTCCCTCGAATCGGACTGACCCGCGACTGAGTCTGCGACAAACTTTCTCAAAAACAAACGACGACCCTGTTTTTATTATTATTTATTTCGCGTTGTTTCATGAACGCGAAAGAAAGATCGTCGTGTCAGCGGGGAGCACCTTTCCTCATCGCGGATCGCTTCTCGAGCGGAAGCTTGTTTCAAGACATCGCGCGACTCACGCTCGCCCTTCGACGACGTCGAAGGGACGCGGGCGAGGATTCCGCGACCTCTCGAGGGCTAGGCGCCTCGGCGAATATTGAGCGACGAAGTTGCGAAGGAACGAACCAGGAAGCGATGCGACGCAAGAGGCGGCCGTCGCGGCCGCGGATCAATGTCGACGGAAGGTATCGGGCGCGCGCGGCTGTCGCGTTATTCGTGACGTTCCCGCAAGATGAAGCTCCCTTACGCGCACGAAATCGCGTATCGATCGCGCCGAGCGCGATCCGTCGCGGAACGTGTCGGCTAACGACGGCATGAATGTTCTACAGCCCGGAAGCGTCGTGTGTGAGCGCGCCTTCGTACCATCCGGCAAAGTCGGCGAATCCTCAGATCTTCCGTACAAGCGAGACCTTTTGCATAACACGCGCGAGTCTGCAGCGCAGCCGGTGATCTCCGGACGTGCCGCACACACACACACACACACATGCATACGTCGCGACACAACGCATCCTCGAGAGAGCTCGCCTCTCGCGCCTCGTCTTATCGATTTCCACGGTCGGCACGTTGCCGTTCGGTCGCCTCGCGGACGCTGCCGCGCGCCGCGGCGGTGCGTCTCGCACCACGAGGACTCTGCATCTAACATCTCGCGAATTTCGGTATTAGGACCGTATGAACCGGAGCCGAGTGCGCGCACGAGACTCCGCCGCGCCGGCGACGTCCGGCCGCCGCAAACGCCGAGACCGCAAAGCACCGCCGCGGAGAGCTCTCACGACGCCGCGCCGCGGGAAACGCCTTTCCGTTTGATAGACACGAACCACGCGCGCGCGCGCTCGCGCGAGAGAGCGCCCGTCCCGTCATTCATATTAGTCCGATTGCCGACGCGTCCAAGGTGTTTTCGGCGATTGGCCAGCCCGGCGAGATAGACCCGGATTATCATGCGCGTGCATGTCGACAAAGGAAGTTTAGCTTGTAAAGCTGATTAAACCTTAGTTAATCACAACCGAGCAGGCCTACATGATAAGGCAGGAGGTGATGTCGTCGTCGTCGTCGTCGTCGTCTCGTCGCGCCGCCTCGCCGGACCGACCTCGTGCAAGTCTCTCTCTCTCTCTCTCTCTCTCTCTCTCTTACCTTCCAACGCGCTCTCCGTCGACGTGCGCGCGCACGACCATCTCTTCGGCCACGTGCTCGCCCGTTCACAGCTCGCACGAGCGGGCGGTCCCGCGCGGCAAACGAGTGCGCGAAGTGCGCTCCACGCCACTCATGCTCGCCCGCTGCGCCGGACAGAAATACTGAATTCGATGCGCGGCGCGCGCTCCGCAATTCAGCACGTCGCGATTGTTGCCGCGGTTCTGCGGGAGCCCTCCTGCGCTTTCTTGCGACGCGACGCGGTGCGACGCGATGCTACGCGACGCGGCGCTGCGCGACGCGACGCTGAGCGTTGCCCCTTGTCCACGTCACGTCGCGCCGCGCCTCGCCCCCCGCGCCCCTCGCGGCGATCAAGAGGCGCGCGCGTCTCGCGAGGACTCGTGCACTGACGACGGTGCGGCCGGCAGGCGATGACGTTTCTTCCCGGTCGCTTGGCTCAGGGGACGATGAGGCGGATTCACGAGTGGCCTCGTGTCATTCTTTTCTCGAGGAGCGACCGCGTGGAGAGCGGGATATTTCGCGTCCCCGCGTAGATTCTCGAGAAGCTGCGCACGATCGTTGAGATCGTTGAATTTGCGCAGGATTGTTTATTAGGAAATGTTTGCAATACCGTCTCTCCGATACGCGGTAAACGTTGATCATGCGTTGCTACTGGTCGTATACATTGCGACGTAATTTCTGAGCGGATAACGTCCACGATTTACGTTCGCCGTATCCGAGAGAGACGGTATTGCAAAAACTGCCTAATGTCTTGGCGAAATTACGTCATGTGACGTTTTCTCTGGAAAGTTTCTCCACGTGATCGTCGAAATCCCACAGCTTTTTGCAGCCTGCGGCTGTCTTCATGACCGTCTGGCTTAACGATCGTCGCGTTGATCTCGGCTCATTGCATAAGAATTTAATTAATAATCTAATCTGCTCAAGTTACGATAAATGAGTGTAGCTTGAGAGACGCGCGTATCTTATACATACACACACACATACATATATACATACATACATACGAGCGATTTTTATAAGAATAAAAAATAAAAGATGAAGAAATAAAAAAATCTCTTGGATAATCAATTATAATTGATACTCAACGAAACACGCGCGCCCGATAGCGTCATAGCGTTAATGATCATTATGATGTTCAACGCGCGTCAAGACGCGCTTTTTGGCGAGCGACGCGCTCGCAGCATCGCGCGATGCACGGCGCGGAGGAGCGACGCGCTCATGTGTTGTGCGTCGTCCGCGCGGAGAGACGCGCAGGAAGGAGAGACGCGGCGAGTGGGTGTGAAGGGGAGACAAAGAGGGAGCGTGCATTGGTGCGCGAGCGACTGGGACGAGCAGACCAGAGCGACTTCCTCGGCCGGCTGTTCTCCTGGCACATCGGCGCAGCGCCGCAGCGCCACGCGTCACGGCGAGCACCATCGCAACGCGCGGCGCCCCTACGCCGGCCACCGCGACGCGGCTACGCCGTGGCGCGTTACCTTTGGCTCCTGTTCATCCATCGTCGCGATGCTGCGCGGCGCTCTGACGCCTCCTTTACCCGAGGACGGTCGTCGTCGGCGTCGCGCGGCTCTCCAGAGCGCCCGGCCCCGGCCCCGGCCCCGGCCCGACGACCAGCACAAGAGGCGAGTTGAGTGGGAGAGTGGAATCGGCCGAGTGACGTGCCGAGGCTCTCGGGCACCCTGGGCTGACCGTTTGGTCTCGTAGTTCGGTGCTTTTTCATCAGGTGGAAGGACCGGCAGCGATCATGTTGCCTGGCGATGTCCTGAATCGCGCGTCTTGGTCCGACAGATTTATGTGCCGGATGAGTCTCGTAGACTTGAGTAAACTGAATCGACATATTGTTATTTGAAAAAGGTGTCTTGGAAGAAAGCGAAACCTTCCGAGGGAATTTTAATTTGAAGTCTGGTTAACGTAATGAACGAAGAGAGAGAGAGAGAGAGAGAGAGAGAGAGAGAGAGAGAGAGAGAGAGAGAGAGAGAGAGAGAGAGAGAGAGATGCTGGACCTCGAAGACACGGCTATAAATTGCAGTTTGTTAATTTTGAACTCGCACAATAAAGTGCATGGTTTCTTATAAATATTTAACGATGAAGCTGAACGCCACCTAGCGGATCTGCGAAGAAGCGGTGGTTGTGGAATTGCATCGTCGGGTCTGATACCGAGGATCAGTAAAGCCCGGCTCTTCGGGCTTGGCAGATGTGTTGTGTGATATCTACCACACAGCGAAATGCTTAATTCTTTTTGACGGCAGGGATTTTTGTCTAATTTGTCCAATCTGCCTTTAAATCGTGTTATGACGTGGCGCTTTCAGCAGCGACTATCTTGGAAAAAATATTCAATTTGCTAAAATTCATTCATCGACGGACTGCGTAGACCAAAAGTCTTGTACAGGGTTCGGGTCTCTGCTAAGTGACTTGTTGCTTCTACTGTTTCCAAAGCTTCTGATCTATTTATCACGTAAGTCGCCCCGATCTAACGACGAATTACATCATCGAGAAATGAAAATTCCAACAGGACAGACTGAAGACAATTTGTCAAAAAATTTAAAAACTGGTGCGCGGCAGGCGGTGATAAAAGTTCCACTGATCATCAGTGATTGAATATACGAGTACAGACGGTTCCAGATGATACAGCTCTCCCAAGCGTGAGCTGTGGTTTCTCTGATTAAGCACTTTTGTTAAAAATCGCACATTTATTTATAAATTCGTATCAACAGATGATGTCGTGTAAACGCTTAGTCTAAGCTAAACCGCCGTCACTCTCGTTCTCTTTGGTAATCGCACTTGTTACAACATATCGGTTTGATAAAAAGTGAGTAAATACGTACTTTGAATCATCCCACATCATCCAACCCTGGACTTGGCGGAACTAAAGATAAGCGAACCTAACGTAATAATAAAAATTATAAAAAAAAAAGATCAAAGGCTGTGGCTCATCGGTATAATTTCTTCTTTCGGATTCTCGTGCGACTAAGTGTACAAAACGGCGAATAATCGCGACAATAAATTACCATCCACCTCGTAAGGAAGTGAAAGACGCGTCCTTCTGATTCTCTAAGCGCGAACCTACCTAGGCAGTGAGAAACAGCCGACTCGGCTACTATCTCACGTTGGCTACCACCAAGTTGAAGGGTCTTTAAGCGTTTACCGACCGCCTTGTGAATGTCGCGGAGAATAAAAACGAATACTGTCCCGTCTGGAATATACATCGCGTCGGTCGCGAGTTGCGCGAATCGGGACAACGGTCGAAGTCCTCGTCATCGTCGTCATCGTCGCGCGCATCCACCTCTCGCAACCTCTCTCCATCGACTTGGACGCATGCGCCGCTACGAAATCGTCTTCTTGTTTTTGAGCGGCAGCGACTCGACGAAGTTGCTGCTGTCCTCGATGGCGATGCCGTTCTTCGTCACGTTCTTCACCGGGTTATTCCACTTCTGGAGCTCGCCGGTGCCGAAAGTCACGAAGACGATTGCGCCGATGCAATACATGGCCGCCAAGGTCCAGAACACGATGGTCCACTGTGTGTAGGTCTGGTTCTGGTACGTGATGGTGCCGATCATGAAGCTGCTGATGAAGCCGCCCAATGAACTGAAGGTGTTGGCGATGCCGAATATGGTTCCCGAGAAGTTGGGCGCGATGTCGAGACCGTTGCCCAAGTAGCCGGCCGTCACGCCGCCGTTGATCGTCAGGGCGACGGTGAAGATGGCGACCGAAGCTGTGCGATCGCAACCGTAATACGCTTGGAACACCATGAGGATACTAGGTATCAGCACAGCTGAAACCGACAAGAGTTCTCGTGTCAGCTATGTCAAGGAAGACCGAGCAAGTGGCATCGTGAAGGTCGCCTGGTTTGACTCACCGAACGTAGTGAACAGTTTCCGTATTGCCGTGACGGACAGCTTGTTGGTGCGCCGCAAGTAGTCGGCCAAGGCGGACATGGACACTGCGAAGATGTATTTGCCGAGATACGGCAGCGAGGACAGCAGGCCATTCTACGTTTGTTAGGGAAGAATCAGTGACGGACGCGTTTCAACCGTCATCATCGTTAGTTATCTCTTACTCGTACTTTTTAACATTATTTTATGTCGCGACGAGACATGTACCTCCTTGATGTTGAAGTGTAAGATGTACTTCATGTAAGTAGGCAGCTGATTGACCACGGTGAAGTAACCAAAGACGCTACACGCGTGCGTCACGACGATTGCCCAGACGGGTCCCGAGGTGAGGACGGAGCGCCATGGTACTGGCAGATGCTGCAATCGGCAAGACCGAATGAGTATCATGAGCATTGACGGGTTCCTCGAAGCGAAGAGAGAGAGAGAGAGAGAGAGAGAGAGAGAGAGAGAGAGAGAGGGAAGGTGAGATCAAACAAGAAGCGACGAAGGACGAGCCGCGCGAGATCCAGCGATCAGAATCCACCGGTCGTAAAATTCTCATACATTTTCCACGCGTTTCTCATTGCGGCTCGCTTCTCGCGCTTGTACTCAGATGGCTACATCCAGATGTAGAACGAGCGTTCTCTACCATTGCTCTTCGAATACCTTAGTGGTGGCGGTGGTCCCGATGGAGTCCTCGATATAGCACCGCTCCTCGTGGCTGATGCGCGGATGCTGCGACGGCGAGTCGAACACCAGCAAGAACCATGCCACGCTCCATATAATGCCAATCGCGCCGGTCACGTAGAAGACCGACTCCCAACCGAGCGAGGCGATGAGGTAGCCGCATATCGGCATGGTTATCGCGGCGCCGAGCGACGAGGCTGTAACAGCGGTACGATTTACGGGTCGCGTTTGATGCGTCAGCGTGAGCGTTTCTCGCCACGATCGCGGATGTCTGTACGTGCTCTTCTTGCGGCTCAGGCGGACGAGAGAAAACGACCTTACAGCGACTTCACGCGGGATCCTCGGCGGGATGGGCAGGACGGGCAGCAGCGGGATCGGGCAGGATTCGCGAGATCGCGGGGCGAATTAGATCGTGAATTGGATCATTTACCCATCATGTTAGAGACGAACTTGCTACGCTCCATCGGTGGAATCCATCGAGCAGTCATCGGCTGGATCGCAGGCCAGGTGGCACCCTGATTTGCGGAATGAATCGATTTTGAGAGATCGTCGGGCTGTATGGCGATGTCGCTCGCGTGAGACTCGACCGACGAGTACGATCGGGACGATTATCGAGCGCGAGTGTCTTTTCTTGAACGATAATAACATACCAGCATAAATCCGAGTACGACTCTCAGCGCCGCGACCACCTCGTAGCCGAGCGTAGCAGCCAACGGCGTCAGCAGGGTGATGAAGCTCGATATCAGCATGCTGTAGCCGAAGACTCGTTTGGTGCCGATAATTTCCGCGAGCCGGCCGCCCGGCAGCTCCGTGCAGATGTAACCCCAGAAGAAGCTGCCGAGAATCAAGTTCACCTCGTACTCGTTCCACGGGTACTTGATCTGAGGTCGTTCTTCCTGAAGCGAGACCAAACCCGTCGTGAAGTCGTGAACAATTCGACTCGAGGGAGTCTTGTACAAAAGGAAACATGTCATGAATGATCTAGAAATGCCATCGAGGACGACAACGGCTGAAGAAGAGAGGACACGTCGCGCACATGCTGACGAATATGCTTTTTCTCTTTCGAAAATCTCTAAACGAGATCTTTCTTTTTTTTTTCTTCTTTTTTTTTTTCTTAACGCGGTACTGAACCTGTCTACGCAGACGGTCATGAATCATGAATAATTGGTCTGCGTGCGCTCTACTCTCTTCGTCTGTGGGATCTAGCATCATGAACTTCGTCTTGATCCTTGCGAACACGGATTGGACACGGGGAAGTGGACATGAGGATGTGCGTTTAGATGAAGATCAATACGCGTGCGGCTATCATCGAGGTCGTGAATCCTGCAGGAAGTTCGGCTTTACGTAAATCTCAACGAACCCGATATCGCTGTGGAAACGCTGATAGGAGCGCAGTGCTGTTCGCCTCGTTGACTCTATTAGCGGCAGCGTCGACGTCGATCTGCGGCGGGCCTCTGGTGTCGCCGATCGGGCTGACGTCGCTCGTCACCGTCGCCCGGGCGCCGCACTCGTCCACCAACGCCGACTCGTTGGCATGCGACGACAGGCTGCTGTTGCTCGCCGTCACCATCGAGACGATCGCTATCGTGAGATTCACGCGCAGCATGTAGTTCAGCATGAAGCCCAGGATCACCATGATACTCAGCACCTGCCTGCAGTTTAGGCGATCTGCGGAAAAGCATTTTATTCGTGTCATTCGTGTCCGGCGATCGAATTCCGCGGTGAAGGAGAAACAGAGAGAGAGAGAGAGAGAGAGAGAGAGAGAGAAAGGAAAAAATAGACATTGCTGCTTGTTGACTTGTTTATCGCTCTGTGAAGTTTATCCCTAGGAGCGTTACAATTATTAAAGAATAAATGAAATAAATGAAAGAGCAAGAAAGAAGAAGAAAGCAAGAGAAAAAACAATCGTGGAGACGCAGCCGACGCGCGTTACTTTAGATTCATGCAGAATCGCGCAGACAATACTTGCGCATTTCTTGTCTTGTCTCTTTTCTCTTCGTTGTTAAATAAAAGAAATTGATATTTTCGGGCGACAGGGGCGAGTTAGAGCAGATTACGCGTCTGCGTTTCGCGTCATCGCGAAGGAGAAAAAAGTCGGCGAGCTGGCAAAGTCGCAGACGGTCGTGCAAATCGCGGCGTCCGTGCTCCTCTCGCTCGCCCGAGAGATCTTCGATCTCCCATGCCGCGCGACTAATGACGTTTGATTGATGCTGTTGGAGACGCCGGCGATACGTTTCGCCTGAATTTCCGCGGCGGTCTGCCGCACAATCATCAACATCGGCGAGGAGGGGGGAAGGGGGGGGGCGGTGGCAGTTTCGAAAACAGGATACTAGCGCGCTACCGCTCGTGTGACGCCATCGTCGACACGACGCATCACACGATCGGAGTGCCGTAAACAATTTTTACGTAACGCGGCCGCACGCGATCCGCGCGATCGCGCGTGTGTATTTTCGGTCCATTATCGATCTCGGCGAGTCGCGCGTCACGTTATCACGGTACGGAATGAGGCCGCGAGGTCTCTCATCCCGAGGTCGCCGAGATGAGTCCGACGCGGAAGGATTTCCTCACGCTACCTCCAGCATCGCACCTTCGTCACCGCGACACTCGAATTCGGGATTTTCGCGCTGTCGTGTGCGCGGAGTGGGCGCTCTCTCTCTCTCTCTCTCTCTCTCTTTTCTAAAGTGCGAATGGTGTATTCTTCATTGCCATACTTTTGACTGGTGGTTTAGTTGCAAGTATGCACACTGCAGCCGGTGGAATCGCGCTGCAAAAAGTTCAGTTGACAGCAGCAAACAGTGCTTGCTCGCATTATTGAAGCAGTTTACGAGTCTTCGGGGGCAACAGCTCATTCTCGGAATAGTTTGGGGAAATTATATTTCGGGATATATATTCGGTATTTTATGAAATACCTTTCCTGGAAATTGCCCCAAATTTCGAAGATAATATCTGGACAAAACTTGCGTGCTTACCGCTCGCTCCATCATCGCCGCAAACGCAGCAAGAGATTTGTGTCATGCGGATTTAGTGATAAACTGTGAAAATCAGCGAGATACAAGAGGGAACAGCGAAGTAGCGCTCCGCTGATTCTCGGCGAAATATATTGCCTGCACCCATCAGAAAAGAACACCTTTACCTTCACTCTAAGGGACGCGACGCTCGCGTTTGTCACGTTTCTTGGCGAAGACACGTCACGTGGGCATTCGGAAGCGTCGCGATTATCAATTCGCGATGGTCAATTCGCGATTCGTCCGTCCGGCTTTAATGAGAGCCGTCGATCGTCGTCGTCGCGCGAATCTCGGGAGTGCCTCGACCAGGGCTAACCGTCGGCAGTTTCGCCGTCACTTGGCAGACCGCCGGGATTATTTCAAGAATGGCGAGCGCCGCGGCGGATCTGCCAATTTTCCACCGTCGGTCGCGCAGTTCGCGCGCATTTCTCGCGGACGCAACGACGACGTTTCGCAAACGGCGGACCATATGCTCGCGCGCGTGAACTTCAGAATCGAGAAAACTCCAGGCTTTTCGCGAAACGCTGCGTCAGTGGATCGAACGAGCGAGCGTGAAGCTCTCGCACGATGCGACTGCGAGCCCGCGAAATCGCGATACGAACGGCCGGCTGGCGGCTCCTCGTTCCTGATATTAATAGTTTCGTTTAGCATGAGGTCGCCTTGAGTCGCGCGATACCTGCGACATTCGTGTTTTGTTTTGCTTATCGTGCTCGAGATTGTGCCTGAGATTATCGCCGGAATACTCGGTACGTACACGTATATACACGTGTAAACGAGTCGCTGCGTTTTATTGACTTAGTGGAGGAGGAGGGATAGATAAATAGACAGATAGATAAATGCTTTTATAATCCACCGTATGAAAAGGAGAACAAAATCAAGATTGCATTCTAATGACGGGGATCCTAATGTTGGATCCGTCGGATCGGTTCGATTTTCAGCAATTCTTCGGGTGAACGTGCATTGTCTCGAAGAATGAAAATCTAGATATTCGAAAACTGGGGCAATTTTTCGAAAAAGCACACGAAAGGAAGATCGGCTGAATTAACGTGACAATAGAGGAAGCCAACGCGTTTTGGTCAGATTAGATTATTAATGATGATGATTGCTTGACGAATAATTTGTTCCTGTCGAATGCGAGGAAATCAAATTTGACTCAAAGATTGAAGGCAACTGGTCCAGTATTTTTCCGCAATAGATATGCAACGATTAACATATAATTAGCGTAGGCTAATAAGTAGGCTAATGAGAATTAAAACCGCGGATATTACCGTGCAGTTTTAATCATATTCTCCCAGGGGGATAATGTCAAGGTGACTGAAAATTAGGAATAGATCGGAGTTTTTTTTTCTTAATCAAAAGAAAAAGATGAAAACGGGGGGGGGGGAGGGGTGGGCTAAGAGTCCGAAAAAGACCGTGAGAATGGGCCAAGAAATATTTGGCTAGAGAAATCTCACTTTCGCTAAACTTGACTTTGGTCCTCCCGAGGGGATTGATTAAAATTACACACGCGCTAATATTCGCGATTTTGGCCAACACGCCGACTGAATATTCCGTGTAAGAATGTCAACGCTGAATTCTCGCGAATGACGAAAGCGAGAATTCAGCGGCGCGAGCCACGTCTCAAGCGGACGAATGGTACGATAACCCGGTATATGTAATCTTCTCGATTAACTTTGCGCGAACTTCGCTTCCGTAATGGGTCTCGGTTCTCGATCCGCAGAGATAACGAGAGGGAGAGAGACGAGTTAAACCGGGAACCCGCTGGGATATTGTTAGCGGAGCGAGGGAAGCGTCGAGTCAGCGCTTCCTTGACGCAATTTGTTCTAACTAACGCGTCTTTGACGCATTTAATTATTACAACAGCGAGACGCAATCTGAGCGACAAATAAGTCGTGCGTCGTTGCATAAGATTCTCCGTCCTTCTCTTTCTCTCTTTTTCTCTCGCACAATGCGCGCCGGTCTTCGATGACAAAAGAGCTCGTGATCACCTATCATCTGTGAACGATTAAGGCTTCTTGTTTGCGAACTACCCACGCAAACGGCACGCGTGCAACAAGACAGACAGAGAGAGAGACAGAGAGAGAGAGAGAGAGAGAACGGGGGAAAACACGAACGATTGAGGGAGCATGAAAAAATAGCTCCGTCGGCGAGCGATGGTCATGTTTTTCCATGTAAAATTGTATACGATGTAACGAGCACACAGTTTCACGTAACCGCGACCGCGAGGAAGGTTTCATGAAATTGCAGGTGCCTTCCTACAATTAAGATTCGACATGCAGCACGTGCGATTAAAATTCCGATAGCCATTCGCCTGAATTACTATATGTATCGAGCTCCCCTTATTTTTCTACGCTAATTGCTTGCTAGAACCGCCGTATTATCAGCAATTTTTGCCGTCTTTATCATATACATGGAGGAGGAGAAGAGGAAGGGGGTGGAGCATGCAATCAGCCTATCGCGCAAAAAGGAAAAGAACTTGGCGTTCGCAAGACGCACTTCGTGACTTAGGTCGGCGTAACGCGTTTCTGACAAACGCGTAACTGGAATATTTCCTATTAAGCGGTAACTTCGTTTCCGTCGACGGATAGATTACCATCGCGCGTGCCTCGTTTGCTCTCCCCCACACGACGAGAGACTGCTACCGGTGTGCGAGCCCTCTCTTCCTCCGATAACGACGACGACAACGACGACGACAGCGGAATCAATTAAGAACTATTACACGTCCTTCTCGTTATTTTCTCTGCGACCGGCCTGTGCGCACGTGTGTTTGTCCGACACACCCCTTCTATCGGCATCGCATACGTCGCGAATATTCCGTGTCTTTTCGCTGGTCTCGGCCTCGACAGGGAGCCAGCGAGTCGTCACGCATCACGCACGTCGCCAGCGCGCGCGCTGTTTCGCCGGTGTTTCTGCGAGATACGCGCCATCCGCGTATGGGACCGGCGTTAGAAGGGACGAGAGAGAGAGAGAGAGAGAGAGAGAGAGAGAGAGAGAGCGCGCACAATTTGGACAATTGGACTGAGAGGAGTGGCTGTTTAAAAAGACCAATCTGACCGATAACGAACGGCAACTCGCGAATCGAGCCCGGCCCGCCACACGTCGCGCTAACCACTTAACCGCTATTACGACCATTACGCGCTCCCCGATCGCGCGGCAATTGACACAGGGGGCACGCAAGCGGCATAAGAAGCGCGCAAGAGGTACGTGTGCACGTACGACACGCGCAGTGTTTCTGCTATTTTAGCTATTCGTCGACTTCGGAACGGTCCCAGAGCGCCGCCGCAAATCACACGAACACGCGCTACGCGATAACGCGCGCGCATGAATTTTTCATTTTCTCAGACTCGGCTGTCGTCCGGCCGAAGTCCGGCGGCGTTTATTATTACATGCGAGCGTGATTGTTAAAAGTCCCGGATGATTATTAAGATTGCCGATGGAGCCGTTTCCGCCGCGCCGCGCCGTTTGAAACGCCGACGACGACGACGACGTTCGATCGACGGCGATCAGCGCCGTGACCCCGCGGGGGCCGTTTACCCGCCACGGCCGTCTGCGTTAACACCGCGCGCTCCGATAAAAAGATAAAAACTTATCATTGTGTTAACACGTAACCTTTCATCCGCGGGAATAACTCGGCGTTTAGGAGAGCGAACGTATTTTTCGGGAGCAACAATTTTCATCGCTTCGCATGTCAGCGACTTGCGAGCGCGCGCGCGCGCGCGCGCTCGGCGCCGCTAATCACAGGATTTTTACGGCCGCCTTTATTCAATTGTCGTGCCGCCTCGACGGCGTAGAATCGTATCGCCGATGACCCCGATAGAATGACGCCGGTTTTAATGGCCGGAAAAACGCGCGGCCGGGCGCGATTTTCGAATCGGCTGGGCTCAACCCTCGCCGGGCGATCCCGAGGGCGGATCGCGCGCGCGCGCGCCGCTCCAGGAGGGTCGCGATACGAATAATAATAACGACAACAACAATACCGACTGCATAGCCACATTATGGCTCGTAATTATTTGGCGCTGCTTCTCGATCTTTAATAGGTTCGTTACCAGCGCCACACATATGTGACACGCGCCGATCTCTCACGAGACTGACTCACTGACGTCACGCATGTGTGACACAGTGATGATGGTAACAATTGTGAACTTTTGACGAGAAACTGTTGACTGCAGTATTACAAAAGATAACAACTGACAGAGGGACGGAATAATCAGCGTGAATATACATTTTGAATGCGAACAAATGCAAACCGGACCTATAATTAGCTCGTATCGTCCGCGTTGTACGCTTGATTGATTTTAATCAAAGACGCGATTCGCGATCTCTCGCTCGAGACGAACGAAAATTTTCCTTGCATGTCCTTGTAAACAAATGAGGTCGGTTTTGCACATTGTTACATAAAAGGACACAAGGTAGTCCGTGGCAGGCGGTTTCCCGGATGAACGCGTGTTGGTAGCGAACGTGTGTTAATTTACATAGCGGCGTGTAAATAAATCACGCGGAAACGTCCGTCGTTAAATTAGAAGGCTCTCGATATTCAAGCCGGCCGACGAATTTTCAAGTCGCGAGCGAGACGCTGCGCAGGAGATACGGCACGGCGAGGGTTCGATCGCCCTGCGTGTCTTGCGGCGGAATCGAGAATCACCTCGCGTTTGTTGGAATTCTGTCGAATGATACTCGCAGAACATTCTCACCGGGCGCTCGTCGTATTTCCATGCCAATTAATTTGAAAGACAATTACGCGCTAAGCGCAATGACCGAGTGTGTCTGACGATCGGCGACCGATGATAATTCAAAGACATCTTAGAAATGCCGCGTGAGCCCTTTGGGATCTTTCGGGACGCGGACTCTGGCCGAAACTCTGGCCCGCCTGTTTTGGCAAAAGCACGAGCGGCAGATTAGTTATCACAACCTTCACCCAGAACCCGGTTGCATATTTCGCCTCAGCGGAGCTATTTGCGTCAGTTGTGTTCCGCCGTTTTGCGCGAGGATTCGAAATAGCGCAGCCGCTTTTCGCAGCCGCGGTTTGATGACTTGCCCTCGTAACGATCATCGCCGGCATCGATTCGGGTCAAGAAGCGCGCGAGTCTGACAATCGCGAGTGGAATTCACGACGCGTGCGAGCGCCGAGCGCGCGTCGTTCCGCGCGTTCTGCGTATTCGCCTGCCATTGGTCGAAGATTAGAGGCTGGTGCGTCGCGTGGACTATGAGCGGCTATTAGCGTTACATTACATGGCAGCGGCTTTCTTTCGATGCTGACGCGAAAACACGTCGCGTTAACATCAGCTGCATCGAAAGTCCAGGGCAACCAGGCGCGCGCACGCTCGCGCGACTCGATTTTTTCCTTTCCTTCTTCAACCGCGGACCGCGCTCGCGCGTTCATTCCGCCGCGACTTCATTCAGAGATCTTGGCGACTTGCGTGCGCGCGCGCAACCCTGCCTGATCCAGTTTTCGCGTTTTTTGACACGAGCCGTCTGGTTTTCGCGTTATGCGCGCAGAAAATTCCGGCAGATATTAGTTCGATTTATCGTTGAGATATATTACGAACACATTTTTTCTAAAACATTAAGATATTAGATATTTCTGGAAACTGTGTCGACGCTTCATGAAAATGCCATACCAGCTCGTTCAATTGAAATGCACTCATGTTATTCAAAACGCACGACCACGAGAAACTAATTTACGTACGAAATTTTCGTGTCGTCGTGGGTAATAAAGTCAAAAAGATATGCCAACAAATTCTACTAGATCATTTGTCTGTAGATATACTTTCTGTATTTCGATATAAATATATCCCAGCTACGCGACATGGTGTATTGTTTAATAAAAAAAAAAATTGCCCCCTGTGACGCGCGTCGGGACGTCTTCCTGTCTGACGTATTGCGTCTCGTATATTCATGTGTCTTAAATCATCAATTAGTCAATGTATTTGTGAAGGTAGTAGCAGAAGTAGCAGCGACGGCGGCAGTTATAAGAGTCACGCGGTGCTCCCCGACAAACAATTATTTTTGCATCGCCGCGCTTTGGTGTGTGTCGTTAAAAGACGACGTTTAATTTCGGAGTTAACATCGGGCTTATCGGGCGAGGCGGGACGAGAGATTCTCGAGCGTCTCGCGAATAAAACGCCGGCGACTCCTCGTGACGAGCGGCGGCGCTTTAATTTGAAGCTCGTCGCCGCGCCGGTCGAATTATGTTGTTTCTTGACGAATCATTGTCGTAACGACGAATGCATTAACGCCCGAGCGGAAGCCGCGTTCGTTGCCGTCGCGCAGCACGCGTGTTATTATACGCGCGCTTAAGCCTCGCTGACGTTGCAGTCTGCTTCCTTGGAAAAGTTATCGCCGAGTAAATAATGGATTTTCGACGATGGTGGACAAGAGAGAATCGTCCAGCCGTGAACGCCGTCACGACGATGCTCGCCGACTTTTTTTTTTTTTTTTTGAAGAGACGGCCACGAGAGCGTTTTTCAGAGAACCCCGCGTTTTCTCAAGCGACCGAATATGCAAATGCGCGCGTCGCGAGGTAACAAAGGGAAAATATGATTCGCAAGTCGCCATGTGGAAAGAATCCTTCGCGAACGAGACTCGAAGTGCGCAAGGTAGACGTGGCCCGAGGCTAATGTGACTCGCTTACACCTAATACGTTAATTAGTTCATGGAAAAGTCGACTAAGCAAGTGGCAACATTTATTGCCGCCAAGAGTAATACTCGGTTTACCCGACGTGCGTCACAGGGGGCAATTTTTTTTTTTATTAAACAATATACCATGTCGCGTAGCTGGGATATATTTATATCGAAATACAGACTTATATCTGTATAAAATGATTTAGGACAAATGATTTAGTAGAATTTGTTGGCATATCTTTTTGACATTATTACCCACGACGACACGAAAATTTCGTACGTTAATCAGTTTCTCGCATTCGTGCGTTTTGAATAATATGAGTGCATTTCAATTGAACGAGCTGGTATGGCATTTTCATGAAGCGTCGACACAGTTTTCAGAGATATCTAATAAACCGAGTACAAATAAACCGAGAACAAAAGTGACGGAACTAAACGAATTTGAGCAAACTCAAAATCAACAAACCGGAGCTGAGACAGAGAGAGAGAGAGAGAGAGAGAGAGAGAGAGAGAGAGAGAGAGAACGCGAGAGAGCGAGCGCGAGCCGAACTCTCCGAATCAGCTTACCATTCGCGCGTGAACGAACATGAGACACGATCGCGTTGCTTTGTTATTTAAACGCGACGTGGCGGCGGGTCAAGGCGACGTGGTCAACCCCCGCTTTCGACCCCTTCCGACGCACATCAATCAGCGACTTACCTAGCATGCTGCGGTTGGATGCCATCTCTCGCCGGTGTATGTTTAGCGCGCGCTCGTGTGTGATGTGACAGTCACAACCACGCGCGCGCCTCGATTTCCCGCTCTTCCGCGCTCGAATTGGCCCTTGTCTTCTTTTGCTCGATGCTTCAGCTTCGATCTCACTGATCTCTAACCACAACACCACAACCTTGTGCGTATATATATATTTGTATGTGTCCTTGTATATTATAGCTGTCTCTCTTTCTCTTTTTCTTTCTCTCTCTCTCTCTCTCTCTCTCTCTCTCTCTCTCTCTCTCTCTCTCTTTGAACGATGGCTCCTCTCGTTCACGCACCGTCAAACTGTCAAATCGTTCGGACGACGGAGCTCTCGACTAAGCTTCCAGCCCCGAAGAACTGCCGGAAAACCTTTCTAGGCGCGAGCACTCTCTCCTTTTCTCTTTCCCTCTCTCTCTCTCTCTCTCTCTCTCTCTCCCTCTCTCTCTCTTTCTTTCTTCCTATCTTTCTCTTTCTCGCTCTTTCTCTGTTTTCCCTCTCGCCAGCGTCGCAACTCGCTCGCTCGCCGTGCTCAAACTGCGCTCCAAAACGCCTGCCAAAAATCTCGCCTCGCCGGACGGCGGCGAATCGCGGCGCTGGCTGGCTGCTCGCGCGACGTCGAAGACGAGGATGAGGACCGGCGAGGAAGACGAGGAAATGAAGGTCCGCCGACAGCGTCGACGTTGCGACACCGACGCCTTCCGCGGGTTGCGTCGTTCTCCGGCTTTCGTATCGTTTCGTTTCGTTGTAACGCTCCTCGGTGTCGTAACGAAGGCTGCGTGTGACCAAGTGACGTGAATAGAGAGGGAAGAGAGGCACGGCCGCGCACGTCACGATACTCACAACTGTGTTGTGTGTATGTGTGGCGTGCACACATGCGTGTGTACAATGCCGCGCTTTGTTCGTTCGCAGAGAGGAAGAGAGAGAGGGAATAAGAGAGAGAGAGAGAGAGAGAGAGAGAGAGAGAGAGAGAGAGAGAGAGAGAGAGAGAGAGAGAGAGAGAGAGAGAGAGAGAGAGAGAGAGAGAGCAGTGCGTTACGCTGTCCCCCACCATCATCGTGCGCCTGAGCGTGTGGGCTTTTCCTACCCTTCTTGCTGTCGTCCTTTCGTTCCCCCGTGCGCCCTGAAGTGCATGAAAAACAATCGCGAAAAGCGAAAAGTGCCAGGTGCGCGGATGGAACGGGGGGGGGAAGAAGAAGAAACTGAAACACCTGTCGTACTTGGGGTTGAGCGTATCGATCATCGATAGTCACTTTGGGAGAACGCCACTTCCCCTTTCGCCGCGGTGAATGATAAATAAATAATTTCGCTATTTATAATAGCGATAATTCGCAGGCGCGGTAACTCCTCCGGAGAGAACGGCTCCGTTGGTGCAGCTGAAATTTCCGCAGCCTGGAAATCGGACGAAAACTCGTTCGCGGGAGGAAAGAGATTTCTTTGGGGGATTTTTCTACTCGCTCATAATTGCTCTCGACTATCTCAACTGAATTTCTGAACGAGTGCCAAAGTGAATAAGAACTGCCAAAAATAACGTCGATAACGTAGAATTTACCGTCCAAACGGGGTGTCAGGTAAGGACAAACAGGATCATGTTATTATCCTTCTCTTGCACATATAGATTTGACGTAAATATGTGTCGTTTTGCATCTTGCTTAGCGGGGAACATATAATAACGTACATTTAAATATGTTCCCGCAGACTACTTTTCGTCAAGCTTTTCTTCAAGCTTCTAGATTCGTTTGCAAGGCTAGGGAAGGACCTGTTAGATTTTCGGGTAGGGCGGACCCACGTTCGATAAGAGACAAAACAAGACAATACAATCGTATCAATGCGCATCTAATATGGCGTCCGAACGGCAGCCTCTACGTTGTCGGCATTTTCTTCTCCATTCCTGGCATTTCTTTTTCCATTCTTGGTCGTCCTTCGGACGTTTTTCGCTCGCGTGAAACTCCTAGACGTTTTCGATCGCGATAACAGAGAAACGTCATCCCTCGTCACCGATTTTCCGTTCGGTTATCACACAAGAGCTGGGAGGCTTCAACTCCGTGCTTCAACTCGTTCACGACAGGTCTGACACACGCACAAGGATCCGATCTCCGTGGTAAATCGCGTCGCGAGTATCCTTCGGAGGATGAAAGTTACGCGCGTGTTTATCGTGAGATTAATAGCGCGCGTGACGGTATCCCGACGGTCGTCCGCCCGTCGCTTCGTTATTTCGCGATGGAGATGGATCTGACCGAAGTGACGGAAGATAATTGTTACTCGCGAGAGACGCGCGCGCTATAGTGCGCCGTTATCGCGGCGCTGCCGGCGTGATTAATCAACGTCACTATTAATTCGCCGATCCCTAGCTTCTGCACGGTTCCTAATGACTGTAATTGGTGGCTACCAGTCGCGTTCATCGCGCAGCTAATGTCCTCCCTGACGCGACTAATCGGACCCGCCGGCATTGCCGGCCTTCTTCATTCAGCGCCGATACTCTTCGTCGCGCCGCTCAATGGGAATCCCACGTAGATCCCTCTCCTCTGCTCTCCTCTCCTCACAGCGAAAGTCAGCGAGATACGCCCGTAATCTCCGCTGCTCCTCGATCTTCACCTTTCACCTCCTCCTCCTCGCTTCGCTTAGCGATTAAGCGGCGCGCGTGGAATTTTCGTCGAATGGAAACGACCGACCGGGCCGAGCGGAATCTTACCGCGGCCGCGTCGATAGTGCAGGATCGCGATTAACTAATTAGGATTCGTCAGGTCTGGCAGTTTACCTCAAGCTGTATAATGCAAACGGAATCATCAAACTTTTTCGTATGTACATTGGTCGCAGTCGGTTCTCCGACTGATGAGAGACGATCAGGTCTCCCTCTCCCTCTCTGTCCCTCTTCCTCCGCCTCTCTGCGCAGTTGTAAGATAGTTTCTATATCTCCTGTATCCGGGAACGCTCTCGCATATACCCCTCGCGAATTATAATTCCGCAAACGTATTGTCGTCGGGAAAAAAGAAATATATATGTGTATGCATACGTTCGAAGGTACAATGTTAGTCACACCACGCGGTGACACGTGCGAGGATATTTCGCAAAGGCGCAATATGGACGCAAATGGAGTACATTGGAAAAAAAAAAAGAGAAAAAAAAGTATCCTTCTCGACTATATCCGCTCGACTCCGCGGTGGAGTATCTTATACGAGTGTACGTACGTGCTAGTCTTCGAGAGCATCGAAGACGCTTCGTGCGTTGTGTAATACCATGAATCACCTTATATGTTCATTTATATCTCCGCTAGCGAGAACAGACAGACACCCCTCCTCCTCCTCCTCCTCTTCTCGCTCACATTTTACCCGGATTGCGTAAGTTACATTATATTAACTCCGATTACACGAGTAGACTCGCCGTAGTCCGAGGGATAAAGCGCGAATTACTCGCGCGCACCGTGTCTTGTCCTTCTCCCGAATTTTTTTCGCTCTCCTTCTCTCTCTCTCTCTCTCTCTCTCTCTCTCTCTCTCTCTCTCTCTCACGGTGCTTAAACTCGCTTTCGTGACGCGACCGCGCGTATTTTCTTGGGCCGCCCGATCGTTAATCGAGGATGTTGAGTTTGCTGTTGGTCTTCCTTAATTGCGCCCGCCAGGGTATAATTTGGCCATCGTCGGAATCGTCCTTGGTCGAGTCCTCCCGCTTCTCGTCGGCCTCGGGCTTCTCCTCCTTCTTGATGACGCTCGACGTCGCCGGTGAGGCGTCCCTCTTCGGTTTCGTCGTCGCGTCGAACTTGGCCGGCGTAGCGGTGGTGGTGGTGGCGGTGGCGGTGGCGGTGGCGGTGGCGGCGGCGGCGGCGGCGGCAGCGACGACGACGACAGCGGAGGCGGCGGCGACGGCGGAAGCGGCCGACGCGGACGCCTGCTGTGTCTGGTTCAGTCTGCAACGAAACCGAGACGATGGACACTTGACACTCGTTCTCCGTCAGCGTCTCTCCGACAGCGAGGCTCGAAAAGGTGTCCTTCTCGCTTGGAGGCGAACTTCCAAGCACGCTCGTCCGATTCGGCCGGGCCGATCTTTCAATCGACGGCGTATGTAATATCACGCGCGTCCGCGGGTTGCGTAATTTTGTACAGCGCGAGCCTCGAAAGGTCAACTCCAACAAGGGGCAATTGTAACATTCGACATGATTCCAGCACTTGATCTCCATACGCGCTGAAACACGGACGGAATTCAATCGCTCGCGGAACAGCGCAAAGTGGATATCCCTCCCGCGCGGGATACTTCCAAGTCCGGCTCGACTCGATGACGCGCAGCTTTCCTCCGCATCTCGTCGCGAACACCTCGCGTCCCGATCGATCCCGAATTTTCCCAGATTGCGGCGCGTTCGCGGCGCATCAGTGACGCGCGTGCTGGGACTCTCAACGACAAACTAGCACGCACCTCTTTTCCTCGCTGTCCTTCTTGGCGAGAAGCTGTCGCTTCCACGGCGGGATCGCCTTCTGCCGCCTCTCCTCGTTCTCCCGCGCTATCTGCTCCTCGAGCTCCTTCTTCGCGCGTTCCGCGGCCTTCCGCGCCAGCATCTGCCGCTTCCAGATCGGTATCACGTTTCCTGAGCTGTCCTTCTCCGGAATCTGCGGGAACACCGTGAGGAAAGGTCAAGCAACGCTTCTCCGCGAGATCCTTCATTCGCGCGGCCGTGATTGCCTACCTGATCGACGAAATTCGTGACGCTGAAGGCTTTATTGATTTCCGACATGAGATTCTGCTCCTGAGTCTTCTCCACCTGCGCCCGCTCCACCTTCAGTTTCTTGATGCCGGGTATGTCCTTGGTGCGCTTCAGCTCGGCGATCAGGTCCGTCTTTTGCACGAAGAACGGCTCTGAAACTGAAGCGGACGATCTCGTCGGGACTCATTCCAAGTCGCGAAGATGTTGGACTTACTCCTCTCTTTCCTTCTCTGGTTTTACAGTTACAATCGACCGAAGATGAAGATTCGTCACGACGGCGCGATCGTGCGCGATGGCGTTCAAAAACCAACGTCAAGATTTAACACATTGTCATAATACGACGGGATGTATCTTCCCAATAATAAAAAATATCTCTACAGCCGAGACGAGCTCGTCGAGACGTCAGCTCGACGATGAGCGTCGCAGCCGTTGGATCCTTTGCGTGCCCGCAAACGCGTGTATGTGTGTCATTGGCTTACCGTTAGTCATGGACACGCTGCGAGGAGGCGGAGCGGAGAACGTCTTGGTAGCGTTCATCTTCGTGCCGGTCCGTCGTAGCTGGATACTCGTGAGGTCCTGAATGCTGATCGTCGCCAAGGGTTGCGGATTCTTGGAGCTCTCGGACTCGTTGCCGCCGGTACCTGCTACTTGATTAGCCCGTGCTCGCTGCAAGGGCGACAACGGCGGCGGCGGCGGGCCCGTAGGAGACCCCTTGGCCTCTTCGCTCCTTCGCGCACCTTCCTCCTCCTCCTCCTCCTCCTCTTCCTCCTCCGCGCCTTCCGCCTCCTCCTCAGCCTGCTCGTTATTCCGGCTCTGGATGTCCAAGTTGTCCACTGACCTGCGAATGCGATTTTCGGATCGTTACGCGGGCGGAAAATTTGTAACGGGGGGGGGGGGTAATTTTGCTCACTCGTGCGAGGTGAAGTCTAGAGAGAAGAGTTTTCGGATTTATCCTTTCCGCTCGTGTGTGCCGTCAGAAGATATTTTTAACATTGTAATATCAAGTTTGCAATTGATGATATTGTGATGTATTATGTAATGTTATTAAATTTAGTTTGCTCCGAACGTCGAATGAATAAAGATATATTATTTATACTATATATATCGACGTTATCATTCTTCCGCAATAATTAGCTAATCGCAAGCTGTCAACCTCCGTTGATTCTTATCAGCCATTTTCCCACTTAATTTTACTTTTTTCTCACTTATTACTTTTTTCTCACTTAATAATATATCAGTCTGCGTTTTATCTGGGTATTTTTCATCGAATCGTATCTCGCTGCGAGAAACAGTCGTTTTTCCGCGGGAAAGGCAGATCTCCCGGGGAGAGAGAGGCGTTATTAATCGCGTTGAACTCTGCACATTTCCGCCGCGTCACCGGCAAAGAATCAAAGACGCTGCGATTTTACATTGTTACAGCATAGCCGGCAAACGAGACGAGGAACTGCCATCGACGTACGATACCTCTCCGCCGACTGGCAAACCGCGCAGGTACCCCGAAACACACGAGAGATGAAGCGAGGCAAACCGCGAAGTTAGACACTGCGCACGTAACTGCGGGGGGGGAGGGGGGGGTCACTGACCTCGCCTTCGACAGGCTGTTCTTCGACGGCGCCTTGCAGATGCTCTTCAGGTACTCGGACGGCTTCAGCAGGGTGTTGGAGTCCGCGTTGGCGAACTTGGGCGGTATAAACGGCAGCACCATGTGCCTGTTTACCAGGTGGGACGCCTGGCTCGCTTTGATTTCGTCCGCGTCCACCGGCGCACTGGCGGGAGGCACTTCCGGCTGCTGATGCTCGCCGGAGGATACGTCGGACTTGTTGGTCGCTGTTCCGAGACAGCGGCGGTGAGTAAGAAGAAGAACGAACGGGACAGAGAGAGAGAGAGAGAGAGAGAGAGAGAGAGAGAGGAAGAGAGAGAGGAAGAGAAAGAAAGAGAGAGAGAGAGAGGGAGAGGAGAAAGAGAGGCGCAGAGAGACAGACAACGATGGAGGGACAAACGGAGAGGGGTAAGTGAGTAGAAGAGAAGTAGAGAGAGAGAGAGAGAGAGGGGGGGGGTTCTTGTGTTATATCCTAGCGCGCTGGACGGTCGTTACCGACGAGCAAGTGAAATCTAGGTAAGTATATTATATGCCCGGTGAGCGCTATGGTCTAGTAAGTGAGGCTACCTCGGCATGATCCGCTAACAGTTTAATTAAAGGCCGAACCGGCGTGGGCCAAATCGCGAGACGGCATGAGCCGTCTGAGATCACACGCGGCGTGGCGCGATGTGGCGCTGAGCCGAGCCGAGCCGAGCCGAGTCGGTCCAATTAAATCCGCGGCGCAGATTAACATCCGTGAATTAACTGATTCGCCCGATCCCACTAATTGCCGTTCGTCGTCGTATCAGCTAATTGCCGTGCGTCACGATGACACGTATCGGAGAGCGCGCTGGGAAATGTAGGCGCGCGCTGGCTCGCGACGCGGCACGCCCGGTTGCGCGATAACACCGCGATAAAAATGCAGCAATATTGCGGATATTACGGATTCGCTATAGCGGTTATTATGCTTCGCGCGCGATCGCGGCTTCCTGGTGCCGGCTGGTCCGATACATTCGCCGGGGACGGGTTTCCGTCGCTCTCCTATCCGGAAGAGACGCTCCACTCGAGACCGGTGGGCATAATTCGAGATTCCCGGAGATCGCTCGCGACGCGACGCCTCGGGGATGTGGCGCTTGAGCAGCTGCGTTGATTTTCATTGATTACCTCAATTCAAAGCAATTCAAAAGGAAAATGTTGCATGCTTTTCTCGAAGGGCCCTTTCCCGGAAGGAAGAGGAGCGAAAAGAAGCTGCCTGACTATTGGAGCTTTTTTGGACACAAATCTGTACGAACTTGTTGAACAAACGGATAAATTTGATTTGTTGCATGCAATCGATTACGTTTATCGATCCTTTTGCTTATCGCTGCGCTAACCCTGCGAGGCGGTCAGCGCCACGAGGAGTCATTAAGCAAAGTTCCACGTTCGTCGAGGTATTACGGCCTCGTGAGTGAGAAACTCGCGTGCGATAATCCTCAGAGAATTATCGGTAAGACCGGTACGTCGTAAGACCGGTGAACGGCCGGCAACCGGATAGCTGATGGGTGGATCGCGTGGACGCGGTTTCGGGGAACTTCGAACAATTCTCTCGTCGCTCCGTCCGCGATCCGCCAGGTGAAAACTACCACAGAGTGCCGCCGTGTTTACGTCTCAATAAACGCGAATGTGTCCGTCTCGCGACGCTATACAGGGTGTCCCGGAAGTAGCGCGCTTTCTCTCCGCCTCACGGAGGCCCCCGTCGTCGCGAAGTCGAAGTCGTAGTTGAAGTCGACGACTGGCCGCGGGCGCGAACGTACGATATGAATCGGTCTAAGAACGGGAAACGCGTTTTTCGCGGTGAACGCGTACGTACGCGCGCGGAAATGTCAGCCCGCGCGGTTCACGCTCGCGGCTCAAAGTCGAGCTGCAACTTTCACGCTCGCGCATTTCGTAAGGGAGCGAAAGGACACGAGGAAGCGAACACGCCGCGCGATTCCTTACCGGAGGACTCGCTCCTTCCGTCCTGGCCGGTGCTCCGCGGCTCTTTCTTCTCGCCGACGGCGATGCTCTCCGCGCTCTGCTTGGCGCTCACCAGGACGACCACCACGTCGTCATCCTTGTCCGGTGGCGGCGGCGGCGGGGGTGGCGGTGGTTTCGAAAGACTAAACAACAGAAGACATCCTGGCGCTTGTAAAAAAGTGTCTCGGGCAATTGCCCTCCTGCAAAATTTTGCAGGAGGAAATCCGACCGGGGGATCGGTGAAAGGGACTTTTGTCAGGAGACTAATAGGAGGTGAAGCTAATAGCTGCAGTCGAAGCAGCTGCGGTTGACACCCGATAGCGGGTAATATAAAATCGCAAAAGCGTCGGGAAGATTAGCAAGCTTTTAACAATTTTATGAGCACTAGCGAAGGCGATCATAATTATAGTAATGATCGATCATAGTCCCTAATAATAGACACACCGGAAGATAACGAATGAAGACGAAATAACAAAACGGGAGGCAGCAAATACGGGTGAAAGTAAAAAAGGAAAAGCCATACGACTGTGTCTGTCTTCGTCTGTCTTGTTTCGAAAGAGGTACTTTTGGCGGATGAGTGTCAGTTCTGATCGGCTCGAGTGAGGTTTTACCAGCGAACAAAGACGACGATAATTGATAACAACGATTCGTCATGGTCTTTAATAATAGATGCTGATAAGGAAGAAAGGTACCCAAAGACAAAAGATATTAAGAGGTGTCAAATGAGCGAGGGGAAAGAAGACGATCCGACTGTTCTGTCACTGACCGTCCGTCCAGTTTCGAAAGAGATTCCTTCGCTCGAGCCGTTTCCAGCGGCTTTTCAGCGAACGAGTGTCGCCAGGGTCCGCGCTGATCGACTTGAAGAGCTCGCTCGCGCCCTCATTCGAGTATATTCGCTATTCGGGTCGATTATCCGCATTCGTTCTGCCGAGGCGCGCTAACGACCGGAGACGTCCGACCAAGAAAGCGGCCGTCCGCGCCGCTTCTAATCCCGTATCCTGCCCCATCTACGTAATATCACGGAGCGACCGAGAAGGAGCTGATCGAAGGATCGGAGCGAGTCGAATCGATCGTAACGCGCGGACCAGCGGCGGCCGGCCGTGCGCGATCGACTTTCGATCGATCTTTCCTCCTTATTGGTAGCTAAAGTGGCTTTGTGAAGCGTCTTGATCCGGTATATCGATCTGCCCTACTTACCTAGGTCCGCCATTGCCGGCCGCTCGGGTCTCCTTTTCACTTTCCACGTGCGTGCTCGACGAGTCCTTCCTCTCTGCGAACAGAATCGCGAGGTCAGCCGGTCCTTTGCTTTGTCTTGGACCGTTTGGGACCTTTGGACTCCCGCAAGAGTGGCCACAACGATGTCTCGTTATCTCTTGAGAAATTGCCAACCGCAAATAACACACACACACACACACACACACACACACACACACACACACACACACACACACACACACACTAGTACACTGTACAAGTACTCTTCGTTTCGCATTTTAATACCAGAACTACCGAGCGACTGCTTTGTAATTTCTCACGAAAATCACTCCAATTCATACAACGATTCATTTCATATTTTTTATGGACGTTAAATAAAATTAGAAGAAATAAACAAGTTCGAAGTCAAGTCCTTGACTAACGTATTTTTTGAGAAACCTGTCATTTCGACCGCTCGAAGTAGATCGCGTTAAGACAATCGTCGGTAGTTCTAGCGTTAAGCGCGAGTCACACTCAAAGGGAAGAGATCCCGCCGTTGCAGTGGTTACTCGAAGTAAGATCAACGTGCGGCAGAGTGCGGTCACCCTTCAGGAATCCGGGGACTTGAACGTACCATGCGACACGTCGGGATTCGTCTTGACACCCTTGCCGATCCGCTCGTTGCTGCTGTGTCGCGACAAAGAGGGGGTAGACGTTGTCGAGGACAAGCAGTGGATCTCGCTACTCATGTTCGAGGACTCGCTGGCGCTGCTGGACCGGCTGTATCGCCTGTCGGTTTTCCGAGAACGACTGAAACGACGAAGAACAGAGGTTTCGCGAGATGCCCGATCGAGATCCGCGCATATCTGCGCGATAAGCGGCCGAAACAGATAGCGATATCGCGTTTTTCCGTTTCCTCGAACGCGCGTCGTCGGCGAGCGATCATTCCTTCGCGACGATCCGCAGCCGTGGTGCGCTTACGTGTTGTGCCAAGAAGCGTCGCCACCGAGTCGCGCCGCGACTGCTTTCGTAGCGGCTGACGCTGCGTTATGCTGCGCTCATCATGTTCTCGCCGATTCGCGGTAACGAAGAATGGACGGCTCATTGTGTTAACTCTAGTTTGGCACTCGTCGGTGCCAAACTGATGCGAGCGAAAAATTAAGAGCCTACGGCTGTTGTGAATTTGTGAAATTACGGCGCGTAGAAACGTGCTTTTCTTAAAGCGTGAGATATATCTTCAACTTGCAGCATCAATATATTTTTTTCTCTCCTACTCGCTACTCTCTAGGTATTATCCGTTTTTAACAACTGTCATGCATGACTCAAAGTCGTTAACATGATCTCGACGGATTTTTCAAATTCACACTTTTTCTACGCTGAAAATTATATCTGTACACTCCGGACTGGGGATGGACTTGGTCAGAAAAAAGCATCGTCTTCGATTTAATCGATTATCAAAAAAATCATTTTTGCATAATCGATATTTTAGAAATATCGATAATAATCGATGTTTCCCTAGTCAATTTTAAATTAATGTGAAGAGTTATATGTTGCAACAATAAATATAATTAACAATAATATATTATTAAAACCTTAAAGACCCTTTTACAGTAGCTGCAAGCATAAGCTTATATATAAGAATAAGGCTATAAGCGTAAGCTACAAGAAATAAACCAATCAAAGTCGGTTGTCCTTATGATAGATATCGATATAATAGTCGAAACTGTTGTTGGTTTATTTTTTACTGTTTACTGTTACAGCTTTATTTTTGCAGCTACTGTAGACGGGCTTTAATTTAGTAGTAAACAAATTCCCTAGTGATAAAAATTTACTAACAAATCTAGTGATATAATCGACGAGAAAAATAATCGGTCCCAAAAATATCGGTCTGATAATCGATTTTTCCAGAAAACAAGAATCGATGCTTGTTTCGTCGATCGATATTTGCCGATCACTACTCTGGACATTTGCAGATATTTAAGCAAAGATACATCAGAAAACCTTTCGGATCTCACAGACCCAGTGCGCCGACGAAGGGTCAACAAGGGTTAACAAGGGTTAAATGTTGCGTGTTTGTTTCGTCGGATAAATCTTGTCAAGACTTACCGGCGACCAAATTGGCTGTTTCCCGTAAAATGCTCATCGATAATAGAACGATTCTTACGCTCTCGACCCTCCCAAGCCTAAATTCACGACGTTTGCGACGTCACAATGGCGTTACCTGCTGTCGGAGGTGTTGTCAGCCAGCTTCTTGCGCGACGACGAGCCGACGCTGCCAGTCTCCTCCTGTCGTACGCAGATCTGCTCGTAAGCGTGCTCCGAGGACTCTCTCGGGGCGATCTCGGAGCGGGCCGCGTGTCCGTTGCCGGGATGAAGCGACCGGTTGAAGCCGCCGTTGTTGATGTGCACGTCCACTTTCACTGCAAGCCAAAGTCGCGCGCGAATATACGCAACGCGAGGCGTGAAAACGCAACGCGGCCCGTGCTGTCTCGCGGGTCGAAAACGCATCTCGCGATCCGAGCGAAATCGCTGTTTAAAAAGCGCGAGCGCTTTGGAACGAAAATCTCAGCCCGCACACAATTGCATTGTGTAGGATCGCTCGATTCGCGATCCCCGCGATAAAATGGGCAACGCGCTCGCGACTCGCCGAAGGCCTCGATAAGCCCGTCGATCGCGCTTCTTATTACTCTTACTCATTAAGAGCCGCTGCACTGTAACGGCTTAACGGTATCCGCGCGGTAAATCGCGCGCGAGTCTTTAACCCGGTTTCGCGCGAGACGCGCGTCGCTCGCGACGACGCGCGTGCAGCTTTTTTCGCTCGCTCGACAATTACGGTATAATTCCGTTTTTCTTTCGTTCTTTCTTTCATTCCTTCTTTCCCCTCAATGAGAGGAGCAGCGCGGGCAGCTTTGCGCATCGTGCGTATCGCATCGGCAGCAGGAACTGCTCGAACTCGTCGTTCGATCGATCGCGAGTCCACCTTGAAAATTGTGAATTACATTCTGATGCGCAGAGTGTCGCGTGAGGTTACGATTCGCGTGTGATTTTCACAACTGGATCGAGGGAGAGAGAGGGAGAGAGAGAGAGGCAAGGAGGGGAGTTGCGATCTCGTTTCTGCGGCACTCGAAGCTGGTGGCATTTAGGTCCGCGAAGTAGATGCCGCCGCGAAGGCAGATGGCCGCGGTTTTGCTTAATTGAACATGAGACTTTGTAAATATCGTCGCGAAGAAAAGAGACAGAGCGAGAGAGAGAGAGAGAGAGAGGGGGAGAGAGAGAGAGAGAGAGAGAGAGAGATCGACGATGTCGAACATTGGACGCGAATCGAGGTCGCTCTGGAGCCACAACAGTTGCCGAGAGCCGACGGAGTGCACAGGGTGACCCAGAATTATTCGTCCGAGCTCATCCCGAGCTCTTTCGGGAAGAAGTCGATCAGCTGACCGAGGAGATCAATCTCGCGGTATCTCGCGGTATCTCGCTTCAAGACCTTCGCACTTTCGACTCTTGGCACTTTGACGATCGATCTCGGAATTTAGATCGCCGTAACTCGGCGGATTTCTGTCCCTAAAAAAAATTCTTCGCGCTGAGAATCGCTTCGTTTTCTTCCGCGCAAAAGAGATCTTTTCTTGCCCCTTCTACTCCGTCGGTTTTGGAAATATTTTTCACAACTGGGGACTGGGTGAAATTTAAAACCTCGCCGCGACGAAGGCCACGCCGCGCGAAATTCTCCCGTTTCCGACTTTCCTCGGAACCCCTTCACTTTCGACGGCCGCGTTGGCCGCGTACAATACTTCTGGGACACCGTGTGTAGCGCGAGCGTTAGCTTAGCGATGAAATATCTGGGACGTGCTACTTACCAGTCAGAGTCTCGTCTTTCCTCTCCGCATGGCGCTCCGCCGCGACGCCGTTCCGCGGCTTCTCGGCATCGCCGAACAGCCGGGTGATCCTCGTGTAGACGAGATCGTGCGGGCTGTGCAGGTAGAAGGACTCCGTGTCCTTCGGCTTCGGCGGCTCTCCGATATACGCGCTCATCGGGTTGATGTAGATGCCGTCCCGCGGCCGGGAGCCCGGCGGGTGCAGGAAGAATGGCTCCTGGAACATCCCGCAGCCACGTAACGAGCACTGCAACACAAACAGACGTTGAGGCCGTATCAGGCCGGCTATTGGAGATTGCGGACCGCGGGCTAAAGACTGAGCCACTTGAGATACCGATCAGGACTCAAGAATGAACAAACTGAAATCCGTCGATTTCCGATCAAATTAGTTTATTGTTTTTATCAAAGCGACTAAACTCCAGCTGATTGTGAGCGCGCAATTTTGGCGGATTAAGTAAATTTTAAATAATCTTATCAAACTTTAGATGTCAAATTTAGGAGAGACGATAAATAAATCAAATTTTAATCTTCAATCCGCAACGTTCGGTCTCCAACGGTCTGTCCGATACGGGCTTGACGCGGATGTAAAGCGATCGCGCATCCTGGGCGTTTCGAGAGAGAAAGGTTCGACGAAAGACAAAGATATTTCTCTCTCTCGGGAAAGGAATGAGAAGAGTTTTCTCTGTCAAAAGATATTCGCTTCCCCCGCCCTCCCGCCCCCCGAAGGAAATCACCGGGCCCACCTTGTCCATGGAGCTGGCGACGCAGCTGCACGTCGTGGTGTCGCTCATGTGACCCGAGTAGTCCGACCCGGAACGATCCCTGGCCATCTTCGGGGTGACATTAGGAGGAGGCTTGCCGGTCTCCTGCTGCTAGAACAAACGCAGAGCGATTAGAACGGTCCGCCGGCCGCAGGTCCATTAGATCGCGCGTCGGAATGATCCTGATCCTAGCCGCGGAACCTGTCGCGGAAGCGATCGCCTCTTCCTTATTGCGCGACATGCCAGCAACTGGATCTCCCTTCTCCCTCCCCTCCTCTCTCTCTCTCTCTCTCTCTCTCTCTCTCTCTCTCTCTCTCTCGTGCTCGCCCTGCGTCCTGTTCTCTCGTCCCGCCGATGTACCGCAATCGATTGCGTTCGCTGAACGCCGCGCTCGAGACTCGGACGGCGATAATCTCCGTTGCTTAATAACGATTACCTACGGTATTGCGCAAAAGTCCGAGGACTGACCTCTTTCATGCCCAAGAGCGTCGGACGAGGGCGGGGAGGGAGAGAAAACGCCGATGATTCGGCGAACGTCGCTCGCGCCAGGACGTCGTTGCGGAAGGTTGCAATTATTTGGAGACCTTGCCGTACGCGCAACAAACGGTTACACTCGTAATCGGACAGAGGAAAGTGGAAGGTGCGATTAGCGCGCGCGTATGTGTGTGTGTGTGTGTGTGTGCGCAATTCTTTCTTCTCTACGCGAGGTCATTCCTTTCCTCGGTGCCGCGAGCGCGCGCGGAATGGCCAGCGATTAAGCTCGTTAATGATTCTAATGAAAACGTATCCGGCTCTTCTCTTCCCCCCGAGAAAAGCGTCGAAAATTCGCACAATACACGCACGATACCCGCTCTGTTATTAAGCCGGGCGATTTCATCGATTACCCCCAAATCCGTCCGAGGATAAACGCTACCGGTTCTCGTGGGAGCGATCCGGCGACAGATTAGCGAGGTCGTGAAAGGAAAGCGTAATTAATCCGCGGTTTCGCGCAGTGTCGACAAAATGCTGCGTTTCGCTTCAATTTGCTTCGACACGACCGCCTGAAAGGGCGGCGAGGGCAGCGAGAAGTAAGCGGCGCGGGTGAATTTTAATGACTTGCACGAAGCCGCGGGCCTCTTATCCGTTCAATGGGGAACGCTAATAAACGGTGAAGAAAGTTAAGAAAAAGAAGAGAAAAAACGAGCCAACGATCTACATAAGATCCGGAACGACGTTTTGCCGTCGCGGCCTTTGTGCGAGTGTCACATCACATTCTTCAGCGTTTTTCATCTTCTCGCTCTTTTTTCTTTTTTTCTTTCGTTCTCGCGCGTCAGGAAACCGGATTATCCTGCACGGCGCGGACCATTTGATACGTCGCGCGCCGCCGCTAATTATGTTATACCGTAAGCCGAGCTCGTAACTCCCTTTCGCGTAATTCCGTGTGCGCGCGCGCGTGGAAATCGCGCCGCTTCCCAGTCGCTCTCGTTTCGTCGAGGTGAAACCGCGTGTCGATAGCGCGAGATTCCGCACTCGCGGCCGATTAAAGCCGACGAAATCTCCCCCTCCCCTCCTCCTCCTCCTCGGCCGCGGCCCTCTGCGAGCCTTTCTAGAACGCGCGTTTTCGAGCATTCCCGCTCGGCGCCGCCGAGTTGCACGAGTTTATTCCGTTGTATCGTCTACGTCGAGTCATTAGCGGCTAATCGTGATTCCGCGTCGGAACACGTTATAACGTTAACAGTCTCCCGTCGTTGCGCCGTATAATTAATTAACGCGCGGTTGTTCGCGATAGATTCTCCCCGTGAAATCGGTCGCGATCGGGGCGACCGATTGTCAAACGGCGGCAGAGATGAATGACGGCTGCAGAGATGAAAATCGCGCAATTTGCGCCGTTTCCGTCGCGATCGCGCTCGCGCGGCGCTATGCAAATTAGCGCGCGATGCGCTTTTAACCCATGGCGTAATTGGGTCGTGTGTGACGAAAGAGGGAAACGAAAGAAGTGCGTGCGATCGCGTAAGAGCAGGAGGAGGAGGAGGAGGAGGAGTGCTCGTCGCCTGTACGACGCGGAGTCGCGCGTGATAAAAGTGACATATCTCGCGCGCGCGCGCGCGCGCGTTCGACTCGGCCATGCGGGGAAAGTGGTATTTGAATGACCGTGTATTCTAATTTCCGAGCCGGCGGAAAAGAGAAATTCGCGCCAGATATCTCTTCGGTCGCGCCATCCGCTCGTCTCTAAATACGACGCCTCTCACAATTCGCCGTCTCGCCTCTCTCGACTGCGAAGACAAGTCTGACCGCTCGCTCGGCGGAGCACAATGCGACGTTTCGCAATCGCGCGTACACGCGTGTCCTTATTATATTTCAACGCGTGGACGCACGTGCGAGACGTACGGAGAGAAAGATCTCGGGGCTCGTGTTACCCGGAGCAAGGACCGGACGAAAATTCTCGGCGACGAGAGAAATGGTATCTCCGTTCGCGCGAGCGAAAAGAGTCTTCCGAGCGTTCAGAGCGAGCTTCGAGATTCGACTGAGATAATTGCGAACAATTGACCGACTGCGAGCCTTCCACGGGAAACTTTCTGTCGCCACAGCCACGAGTTTTTCCACTTTGTTCTTGGTTTTCTCGAGGAATATCCGGTCAGATTATCAGAATTCTTCTCGTTCACAAAGCGTGTACGAAACTGTGATACGAACTGATTTTCTTTCTTTTATCGGGAAAAAACCAGACCAAAACTTGTTTGTCAGCAGAAAGATTCCTGTAAGAAATTCCCACCCAGTCGATTGTCCTTTTTATCTCCACGAGGGGGTTTTAACGTAGCGGATGTTTTTCAGATTAGGAATATTTCAGTCGTGTTTCAAACGTCGCTTCACAAACTGACAACGACACAGATATCGTTTCTCGCTGCATTTCGACCTTTCGACTGCTCCATCTTGTCTATTACTCGAGATCTTTCTTTTTTGGTGCAGACGTAAATGCTGATAATGATTTCACAGTCGGTCTTCTCTCCACGAGGAAGCTCGCGTGCTATGCAAATGGGTAACATATTTCGGTCTTTAGGGACGTGAACGCGAAAATGCACCGTGACGGAGACGGATGACAAATTGTAAGAGCGCGATGTCACCGTGATGGCCAGCACCCGGAAAAAATGTCCGCTCACGCGAGGAGTCCTTCCCACGTGATGTGTGCTCTTCCGTTGCGTTATGCGCCACCGACACGCTCCTCGCTCAAGCGGGTGAAGGACGGAACGCGGGGAAAATGAATTCGTCCGCGTGCGGGTTTACGCGGATTTTTCGGTGCAGGTTACTCCTTCGCGCAGGATTCAGAGCGCGATGCTGATCGGCCGACTGCTACGTCTCTCCCTTCCGTCGTGCCGCGTACGTTTACCGTAAGTCAACCCAAGTGGGTGAGGAGCCTATGTGGGTAATGCCGAAACGTTAGAAAGTCGCGAAGGTACACGATCGTCTTGGCTATTGATAATACGAGCTAATAATTCAATATGAGCCAAATCAAAGGAGGGGCAAAGAAGATCGGCGATTTCGGACATCGGCCTCGAGTATGAGTGTGTTGGCTCTCTCGAGAAGGTGGACGAGAAACTCTTAGTTTTTCACATTCCCCAGCTCACACAAGTGAGCGACTCCTGGCCGGGACAATATTCCTCGCGATATCTTTCTTTCTCTCGCGGGAAAGTTGAGAAAGAAATGAAAATCAAAGTGGATTCGCAATTAAAAGATTCGAAGGAATTTTAATTAGGATCGGGCAAGCGATGGAAACGAGGAGAACGACACAAGAGCTTGGTCCTCTTAGCGTGAAGGATAGAGTTCATTCGCCTTTACCCTCCCGAAGAGATTCAGATTACGCAGCAATGGCGACTCCGAAATTCCGGATTCGGTCGACCCACGTCGTCACTCATTCGCGAATACCTTAGCGTCTACATTAAAAAGAAAAAAAAAAAGAAGGAAGAAAAATACCAGAGTCGTCAATTTCAAGCGGCCTCGCGGACGGTCGGTCTATCATAACGGGTTCCGCTCCTCGTCGCGTGATTATTATCGACAGATAATCTGCCGAATGCGTAAAACCGCCGCTGGAAACGCAACCCTCGGCGGTAACCACGAATGCACGCTCGCAGACTCGGGCCTCTCGCCGTTGCAGATAATCGCGTTTCCGAGTCGTGTTAATCTTGTTATCACCGGGCACGTTGTAGCGCCGCCGGTTGATCTTTCGCAGGCGTGTTCTCGTGTGCGACGTTCAAGGTGAAAGATCGCGTCTCACAGTCATGGAACTGACCTGTGCAAGGTCGCAGCGGCCGCGCCGCGAAATGCAGTCCGCGGCACCTCATTCGCGGCGGATGAATGACAGTGACGTGATTGGGTCGACCGGTCGATCGGAATCCGAGAGCGACCCTGTCAGCCCGCGAGCGCGGGATTTTGCGAACTCACCGTCGCGTCGCAGTGCTGGAGATTCTAAATTTACCGAGCGCTCTGGAAATTTGGAGAAAGTGCGCGCGGCACTTCGTGCACTGCCGTGGCCGCGTCGACTTAAACATCGACCTCTTGCCTCTTCGGTCTTCGACGAGCCGTTGCATCGCGAGCGCGCGTCGGCACTTCCTATTACACGCATGAATGTCCGCCGCTCGTTACGAGTGAAAAGTTAGCAGCTATTAGCAGGTGTGTACGCAAAACCGGATCGCGCGTAGAAACTGCCGGCTCTCCGTTACAGCGGGGCGATTTTACAGCTAACTTTCGAGTCATCGTCATCGGGGGATTCGAAGCGCTCGCGTCGGAGACGATCCTCCGGATCCTCGAATCGGGCGATGCCCGTTGAAACCGTTGTGGATTATCGACAGGCTTGCAGCAGTTCGCCGTCGTCGTCGTCGTCGTCGTCGTCGTCGTCGTCGTCGTCGTCGTCGATGATTTCATCGGCTTGACAGGTGCGAATCGCTTTGCAGACGTGGAATCGGACGGATTAGCTGCGAGACAGCGGATGCTGCGATCAACCTGCGACGCGTTTCGTCGTTAACAACAAGAAGTACGGCTAAAAGCCCGACGTACCTTCGCGAGCGGCCGCGAGCGACGCGATGAGAGTAATCTCCCAGATCGAAATTCTGCATCAACACCTTTAGTTAACGATCTGCGGTGTCGATCTGCTCAACTTGCTCAACTCTTGGACCAAGTGTCTCGTCTAACGAGATTAACATTCGCGTGACGCAACATGGTTGAACATTTCTCCGCGTGAAATGAGAAATCGATCAAGTTATCAAGAAAAATAGTACGGCTGAGGACGCGGCCAACTTCCGCCTTGAGACTCACATCTTCTGCATCGAAATTCTTCATGAGCCACTTCTTAGTCAACCTAGTCAACTGCTCGACCGAGTGTGTCTAACGAGACAAGTAACGGACAAGTTACTTTGCGCGATATATTTTCACGTGTTCACACGGCATAACGTGGTTGAATATTCCTCGACGTTAAACAACGTTCAGTAGAGAGCGAGAGAGAGAGAGAGAGAGAGAGAGAGAGAGAGACAGAGAGGGAAGGAGGGAGGGAGAGAGCGAGTCACCTCTCGAAGTCGTGTATATCGGAGCCGCGAAGAGCTCAACGCTAAATGTTGCCGCGCGGAGCGATGCGCACGGTGGCATTACGGTACCTTATGCATTACGGCTCACTTACGTATACACCCATGCAAAACCGGACTTGGTACTCCGCTGCGCAACCGGAAACCAAAAAGCCTCTCAGGTCGCCTCCGGTCGCTCGTCGCAGGCGGCTCCGCGCTCGGTCGCAGAAGAAGGCTCCGCTCGATCCTTCCGCTCATCTGTCGGAACGCACGCTCCGCTGTCCTAGTTCGGACCAAACCGGGGCTCGCCAAGGCTCGCGCCGTCAAGGCCGTTCATCCGCGAGTCCCCAGCGCGACCAGAGAGACAACGGTACCTCCGCTCCACGTTGGCGCCGCCGATGCGCTCTCCTCGTGCTCCACGCGAATCCTCAGGACCACCCTCTTCCGACTCTCCCCTCGGCTGTCGCGAATTTCAAGATCGAGTCACCGCAGTCGAATCTCTTCGTTCTTCAAGCGCGTCCCCAAGTCCCTCCGGATTTCGATCCGGGTATCCAAACCGGTTCACACAAATTCGCGAGAATTTCTCGAACGCGTCCAGTTACTTCCGATCCTTCCGACGCTTCAATAGACGCCAGAATCGCCCAAAGCGTCTTAAGACTTCAAAATGATACGTTCGGGATTTTCCAGCGTCCGTACTTTTGCTCCTGAGCCGCTTAGGGCTTTCGAGCAAATTTGCAGAGACACTCTCTCTCTCTCTCTCTCTCTCAAATTTCCTCCAGCGAGTTTCAAAAGTCGAAATTTCTCTACTGAATATTCCTCCAAAATCCTTCAAGAGCCTCGCGGTCTCACTGTCTCTCCTCTCCGGACGAGTCTCTCCAGGCTCCTCTCGCGACTCGCGGTCCAGTTTTGGCCAGTCGAAATCACGCAAAATCCTCAGTGCTCGAGTCCGCACGCGTAGCGTTTTCTCACCGGCTCTTGCCGTGCTCGACGAGCACGTCCGGCCAGTGCGAGCGGGCGCGCGACTATGACTCGAAGCTAACCGGAGTCACGCGCGAGTTAGCACCTGCCTGTCGGCCTGGGTGACGCGGGTCGATTTCTCGACTGGAACCTGGTGCGCGGGTTTTCCTCTGGTGGCGGCGAAGCGCGCTACGGCGAGTGGAGTCGAGTCGAGCTGGGGCTAAGCGAGGCGAGGCGAGGCGAGGCGAGGCGAGGCGAGGCGAGGCGAAGGAAAGCGAAGCGAAGCGGACCGCGCCCGCGCCTGTTCGTCAGGCGCAGGTCGTCAGGCCGGTGGTCCAGGTGCCCTTTTCCTCCGATCCGATCCGGCTTCCAGAATACGTTCGCTCGGCCCGTCGTCGCCGGGCACACCAGCAGGCGACCGGCCGGTCGGGAACGGCCGGGTACGGGCGCGCGCGGGTGACGGTCGGCCAACGAACTCGCGCCTCGCCGCGCGAGTCTCTCTGTCGTCGTCGTCGTCGCGCGTCTCTCGTGCCTCCGCAGCGTGCTGAGCGCAGGAGGCGGCAGACCGGGACTCTCTCGTAGTCGTCAGGTCCGATCGTCGAGAGCCCACCTGCTCTTCTCTCTCATCCGCCGGTGAGGCGGACGAGGTAGGGATGCGATGCCTCTCCGGTGCTCGTTGTCCGCCTCTCCACCTCTCGGCCGCCTCGCCGCGGATCGCGTCGTCCTTTTGCCTCTCGTCGCGTTGTCCTACTCCCGGCGGATCCCGCGGATTTTCCCGCCACGCTCCAGTTTGCCCACGAGACCCCCGTCTCTCTTCGGGGGATGTCGGTTGGCTGGTCATTTATGGGGAGAAATTCTCGGGACGTTTTCCCTCGAACCATCGCCGTCTTTCCCGGCCTCTTCCCCGAGACGCCGATGACGCCGATGCTTTTCGACGTTCCCGAGGAGCAGCCGAGGGACGGTATCAAGTCGGGAAGCTGTGATTAGCGCGTCGACGCGTCGCGATCTCTCCTCGTTATTACTCACTGTACACGCGCGGCGTGTATATCAGCACGCTTAATGAGACTGAGATACGCTGCGATTTTTGGACTCGCGCTCGTGCAATCATCGCGCTTGCAAGATGCAAATCGCGCTTGAAGGTCGTGCGCGAGCGGCTCTAATCGCAATGTTAAGGCATAAAACATGAGACGCCCGATGCGCGGGCGTCGAAGATAAGATTCGATAGGAAAGATCCGATACCGACCGAGCGCGCCATCATAATCAAAGGTGTGTTGTCGTTAATTGCACATTATCGTTGATCTCCGCGACTCTCCTTTATCATTCCGGCAGCCGATACACCGGGAGAAGAGGAGACGCGTGCGCGCGTCTCTTTGAAAAGTAAGCGCGACCTAGAAAGCACCCGTCGATCGAGTTTCTTCTTCTGCTTTTTTTCTCCTTTCGGGAGCGAGCAGCATCTGCGTTCCCCGTTAGTTCTCCCTCTCTCTCTCTCTCTCTCCCTCTCTCTCTCTCTCTCTCTCTCTCTCTCTCTCTCTTTTCCTCTCTCAACGTGATGCAAAAGGAAGTCCCCTCTGGAGCGAGGCGGCGGAGGATGAGAAGCGCGAGCCACCGTCGCCGCGAGGTGGCAGCGCTCTTTCCTCTCTCGGATATCATCGTCCTCGTCATCTCCCACCGAGCTCGAATTTCTTTTCGCCTCCTCTTCGTCCGATCCCACTACGTCTAACTGTAAAGAGCCATCCCCACTTGCCGCCTTGGCGCCAGGTAGCCTCGGTTCTTCGCAGGTGCCGCTGGCAGCTACGACCGCGCGGCAGCGCGTCTGTGCCAACGACGACGACGGGAGCGTTTGAAAATTAAGATTAAGACAGTTAATTGCGACTGCCGTTTCGGCTGAGGATGAGCGTCGAAGCGATGGTCTCACGACCATCGCTTCGACGCTCGACCATCTGACGATTTGAAACTTGATTAATATAAATACTTTCGTGCAGGATTTATTACTAAAAAGCGCAGAAAACAGACAGACTGCAATTGGCTCTTGTTTTTCTGCTCGTTTCGTATAATTTTGGAAATTAAGATTTCTGTTGAGAGAAAGATTGAACAGGAGGACATTGAGGAAAATTTGACAAGGTTAAAATTTAAAGGAGAGAGAGAGAGAGAGAGAGAGAGGGGGAAGGGGGTAATATAAAAATTAATGTTAAAGGATTGAAAGGTTGCGAGCGATAGAATAATAATATGGAAAGCTTCCTCGGTGTGAGGCGATAATCAAGTAATTATGATCTTGCGTTGTCTCCGGTCAACGTTTCTCCCGCGATCGGAGAAATCCGCGAGAGTCTTGGGATAATCATTGATCTCGATAATTTTTCTTTACTTAAACGACGACGATTCACATCGCTACTTGCCGTCGATTTGCGAAATCCTCGAAATGCGAGTTCCTTTCCCCGTGGAGATTGTCGCCGGCCGGCGGTGATCACGTTTTTCTCCTGCGAAATATTGAAATTCGACGAAATGTCAAGAGTACTGGTTTAACGGAATTATGCGGAAAACCGATCGGCTCGTGCTGCATACGATCGCTGCTAAATCACCTGTGAAATTCTGTCGGGAAACGGACGCGTGTGCGCACGCACGCACGCACGCACGCACGCACGCACGCATTGCAGCATCTGACGCGGCCCGACTCGGTCGACTCGGTCGATTTTCCGCGAGCGGAACGAAACTGGTCCTCGCGCGATTCCTCCTCCGCGTTGGCGTGCGAGCATCCCGAGAATCCGGCCAAAGTCGATCTGAAATTCGCCGTTCGGTCGAGTCGATTTTTGTCAACCCGACGGAACCAGTCGGAGCGGTATGTTGTGTAACGCGCAGAGCGCGCGCGCGCGCGTGCGCCAGAGATTTCCATCGCGCTCCACGTGTGTCGGAATTCGTTTTACCGAGTCGCGACAAAATCGCAAATCGACACATAAACGTAGACGCACGTAGAGTACGCTTATCTCACCGCTTAAATTACCGCCGACACGCGCGTTTCCTCGACGCGCGCTCGCGCCGTCTGTTGACGTTGATAGCGCGATAAAGTGCTCCCGTGACGTAGATATCGCTCTGCTCGGCGACGGAGAGCGGCGGATTTTCACGCGGGCTGCCTTGTTTTTCGCGTCGGCGATCGCGAGAGTTACGCTCCACCGCCGGCTTATATATATATATATATATATATATATATATATATATATACACGTATATATATTACATATAAGTGTCGATTTTTCTCGATCCGCGAGCGCAGCTCGTAAATTGCCAGGCCGGTGTATCTTCGCGACACTCAGCGATTGCGGTCACGTGGCAACCGTCATTCCTCTTCCTTTTTTTTGCCGCGTGACCATCGAGAAAACAACGCGTGATCGTATGCAGATTTCAGCGCGCATCTTAATTACCGTCGCGCGGGTGCGATTTCCACTCGCTCTCGCTCATAATGACCGTGCCGGTCGAATGGCAAAAAATGGCTCGCCGATTCGATCTCGCGGCGCGAGCAGCGCGACGTCTCTTCTTCGTTTTCGAAAAGCGAACGCATCGAACGGCGGGCTCCTCCCGCCGGACGCAATCGGCTCGTCATTACGTGTCGTCGGTAAAATGACTGATCCTCCGCACGGTGAAAGTCGAGAATATGGAGCGCAATTATGGCAAATACCTTGTTTACGGCGTGTACGTTATTTTCTGCATTCCGCGTTTTTCGAGCGATTTTAAATCTGGAAGTACAATCTTTGTAACGCGGAGCACGCATTATACGCGCGGCCTTCGCGCATAAATGAAATTCTGTTTTCTTTTTCTCTTCACGCAACCGTAGAAAATGCAAATTTCAATCAACCACGCAGGCACCTGTTGGCGCACATTTAAATACAAATTATGGTAGCCGCTAAAATTATCCCAAGTGAAATATCACAAGCGCGTTTGAAGACTTATAACAAGACTGCCGATAATCCCGCACGGAGACGACAGTTCCATCGATGTGGATGAAACGTTTCCGTTGTGTGGAATGAATAAAGACCAGATGGAGGAGACTCGATTGCGGGGACGGAAAAATTCCTCGAAGAGCTCTCTCGAGTTCCCCGAATAATTTCCGTCAAGTTTTCACGCAGCTGAACGTGTCCAGACGACGTTCGGCCGCGGTGATACGGAGATACGATTTCTCGCCGACTCGAGTTATCGCCCCCGTACGGTCCCCGTTCGGTTAAACGAACCGAGATTTCTTTCTCCGTACACATTCGTACACAGCCGAGACGCGCCTCCTCGAAACCGAGCTCCACCTCGATCGCGATCGGTGGAAACTCGCGTGTAATTACGCCAAAGGCGCCAGAGGCGTGTACGCGTTCGGCGTGACGCGAAACTTTCTCGCGGACAACGAACTTTCCGCGATAACCGATAAGAGGTCCGACAAGGTGAAAACGATTAGAATAAAATCCACGGCGCGCGCGGCGGTCGAGTTCGCGTCGCGGACGAAGACGATCGGATTTTCGTTGAAACTTGACTGTCATGTCAGGTTTATTTGATCGAAACAAGAACGAGCACCTTGCCGAGATGTTCTAGACTCGAGATAAGATAAAGCGACGAGGCAATTTATCGATGGATGATTACCTTCTCGCGCGAGAGCGATACGCTTACTCTGTAAAACGACGTTATAAATATGAATGTTACAAAGGAGGAAAGCCGCGATATGACATTGAGCAACAAACGAGTCGAGTTTGCAAATCTTCAAGTGACGTTACGCGACCGACAACAACACACCTCCCCCCCCCCCCCGCAGAAGCGTGAAACGTTCCAGATCACGTAGGCACGCCTCCGCCTCCGCTCATAAATCTTCCCCGAAGGTGCGTGCAAGGAGAGTGTTTCGGTAAGCAGGATAGAAATAACGAGTATTTGCCGCTTACGCAACGCTTACCCGTCATTATTGGCTAAAGGTGATCGCGACCAACACAAGTGCGAGTGGAAGTGCGGGACCCTCTCGCGTTTCCTGGGGAAGGAAGATATCGAAATGAGAAAGTATCGGGAAATTCAGAAGCGTCGAGACGACTTCACGAAAAGTCATCGGAGTTGTCGCCGCGAGAGCGGACTCATTTGAATATCTTTGTAATTTGGAAATTTTTCGAGTCGACGAAATCGACGAAATCGACGAATCACGGCTCTTCGGCAACCGGACCCGAGGACCGGGCGGTTTCTTCGGGCGAGATCACAGATCAGCCGCGTGCTCGTGATGACGACCGATCGTGATCGGCCGGTCGGCGATCGGGCGAGCTGATGTTGCGAGGGGCTCGTCTCGGGAGAGGCTCTCGGTGATAAATTCCTTAGTGTGATGTGGAATTTCTGGCTCCCCGACTGGCTATCACAGCCGGCCGTGCCGGTGTTAACCGAAGCCGTGCCTACGATTACTCGCAGCCGATTGGTCCGCGGCCGTAAACATGTTTTTGCATAATAACAATCTCGTCGTCATTGCGTGGCCTGAGAACAAGCGCGGTCCCCCCGTCGTTCATATAAAACGGGGGACACCGCGGAGACCTCGGTATTTCGTGTGAGGAGAAGAAACCGCCGAGCCACTGCCGTGTCATGAAAGACGAGCTCAAGGTAGCGGAGCTGTTACTTCTCTCGGATATTAAACCTCGCGTTACTTTTCTTCCATCTCTCTCCGTTGATTGTTTTCGTTTGCGAAAAGAAGTCGATCTTGAATCGCAAGGACCTCTCTCGTGGGATCTCTCGCGGGGTCGACCACGCGATTGGGGCGATCCCGCGAGTATCTCCCGAGTCGCTTGGGAGCCGAGACGACAGCTCTCTCGGAAGCGTCGCAAGCGAGATAACGAGAGCAAAAATTTGAAGAGCACTCGGCAAGATTTGACGTTGCGATCCGGGCTTAAGATAACGACGCGATGACGATTCGCCGGCGCGCCCGTTGCCTTCGGCGAATATCATCGCGAAGTGACCGCGTGTCTTTTGTTAGTACCTCACGGGATTCGGCTGCGAGTTCTCCAGCGAGGATGAGCGCTGCCCAGGAGCACTGCCTGCTAGACAGAACAATCCGCAGAAGTGCCCATATGGTCTTTACGCCGAGCAATTGTCGGGAACGGCGTTCACCGGTAAGTGAAGTCTCGCGTGTGCGCGTATTTGATACCTTCAAAATTGCACCGGAGTCCTGAAGTGACGAAAGTTGCCTCGCGCGCTCGTTGCTCCACGTTCCAGCGTAGTTTTCCCGAGTTTCTTCGGCGTAATCTTCGGATAAATCCACATTTTCGATCAGTCGCTAGACACGTCGCCGGGAGTTTCAAGCGACGAGAGCACTCTCGTTTCGAGAGAGTTGAAACTGGTTTCCCACGCACCAACGGAGTTCTATCGCCACTCTCGTGCTTATCAGCCGACATATTTTCACAAGTGACCCGCGAGACACGCTATCATCGCTGATCTGTAACTCTGTTGGTCGTTCGTGACTTTCCGTAACGATAGAATCGTGACGCCTCGTCGATTAACACCGGTCAAAGCGGCTTATCTCGAATTCGTTCCTCAGCTCCGCGTTTTGAGAACAAAAGATCCTGGTTCTACCGGATGAGACCGTCCGCCGTTCACAGGCCGTTCAAGCCTTTTAGCGAAGCGCACGGCGCCGAGTGTCACTTAACCAACGATTGGAACAAGACTCACCCCAATCCTAATCAGGTAAAGTCGCAGTTTGGGGTTTTGGTGTTTAACAGCGGGGTCTGTGTACATACCTTTCAACACCTCGAGCTCGAGTAAAACGTTCGGACTACTCGAAGCGGCTCTTGCGCAGCTTTATCAAATATCAAACAAGTTTACGAGACTTGATTAATTACTTATTGATTGTTATTTAACAGTTTTCCAGTCCCCCTTAATTTTTGTTCGAATCCGCCCAACTGCCGCGTACGCGGATCTTATCAAAATGTTAATGCGGTTTAAAGAGGTGAACAAGAAATAATCAGAAAAAATCGTGTAAGAAACGAATCACACATATCTCTTCGTCGCGCTGAAACCATCGATTCAGCGGGACTTGCCGACGATCGGCGGCTCGTCTAAAGCTGACCGCTCTCGCTTCTCAGCTGAGATGGAAGACGTTCGATGTTCCCACTCGACGGGACCCCGAGGTGGACTTGGTCGAAGGTCTTCACACCGTGTGCGGTGCCGGCGATCCCAAAATGCGTCAGGGTGTCGTGGTGCACGTGTATCTCTGCAATGCGTCGATGAAGGATAGAGCTTTCTACAACGCCGACGGCGATTTCCTTATTGGTAGGTAACAAAGGGCCGAGGTTTTTCTGAAAAAAGGTAGAAAGATGTGAGAGAGAGAGAGAGAGAGAGAGAGAGAGAGAGAGAGAGAGAGAGAGAAAGAAACTCGCTGTTCGCTGCTCGCAGTCCCGCAACTGGGCGCTCTGCAAATCACCACCGAGTTCGGCAAGATGCGCTGCGAGCCGAACGAGATTTGCGTGATTCAACAAGGCATGCGATTCTCCGTCACCGTCTTCGGGCCATCGAGAGGTTACATCCTCGAGGTCTTCGACAGTCACTTCCGGTTGCCGGAGCTGGGACCGATAGGTAGGATTCGTCGCGGTCGGTCTCGACCGAGGAAGGATCGCGAGTGCTTCGCTCCGCTTCGCTTCTTTCCTCGAAACTTTAGAAAACTTATGCGAACTTATCTCGCATACAACACGTTCATGTCTCTCCCTTTTTTCTCTTAACTGTGCTTGTATCGCTTCTATGCTGCTGCTGCTGCTGCTACTGAAGTTCGCTATTTGTTTGTTGGAAGTCTAAATCGCGACAGAGTAAGTCGATGTTTTCTTAATGAGCGATCCTTAATGAGTTTCCTTAATGACGATCACGCGCAGGAGCAAACGGCCTGGCGAACCCGAGAGACTTCCAGACGCCGGTCGCATGGTACGAGGATCGCGAGGTCGACTATGAGATCGTATGCAAATATCAGGGAAAACTGTTTGTGGCCGGCCAAGGTCACAGTCCCTTCGACGTGGTGGCGTGGCACGGCAATTACGTACCTTACAAATACGACCTCGACAGGTTCATGGTCGTCAACTCCGTTTCCTTCGATCACTGCGTGAGTAAACACATTCGCTCATTCGAGCGATCAACCTGTCACTTGCGGATTTGAGAGGAGGTTTCCAGCGCCGCAGTATTATCCCTATTGATGCGCCGGAGATTTCCCCAGCGATGATCCTCGCGAATATATCTTCGTCGACGCGGGGCGATTCTCTTTCCCCCGCGAGCGATCTCGATCTTACGAGTCATCCGGAAAGTTTAGAGTTTCACGTTAGTCGAAAGATGGATCGATCGATCGTGATACGTTCGAGCGGCGAGTAAAGTAACTCGATAATTCGCGATCAGGACAGAGGATCGCGTGCGAGGACTCTCTCGATCGACAGTCGACTCGGAGAGAGAGAGAGAGAGAGAGAGAGAGAGAGAGAGAGAGAGAGAGAGAGAGGAAGGGGAGAAGGGGGAGGGAGAGAGAGAGAGAGAGAGAGAGAGAGAGAGGTCTCAGTGAATTTGAGCGTGACGCTCTCGCGGTAAATGGCTCAATTAATTCCGCAGGATCCGTCCATCTTCACCGTGCTGACGTGCCCCACTAACAAGCCTGGAACCGCCGCGGCCGACTTTGTGATCTTTCCACCCCGATGGTCCGTGCAAGAGCACACTTTCCGACCACCTTACTATCATCGTAAGTAGAAAGTGTATAGCTTTACGGTCGCGTTTAATTATCGCAGGCGCATGCTGATGCGAAGACCCGCGTATGGAGGAGATCAGTCGTCATGACGTGAATCTATCGCACGAACATTATCCGAGCGCTGCACGGGAAGGAAAATCCCACTTCGTGTAACCGAACAGGGAACGAACGAAAATACGGTGACGGGGTGTACGATAAATCTCTGCTGCGCAGCCGAAAACAGCCGTCTGAATAGCTAGCTGAGAGCTCGGTTGAGAGAACTGAGAACAATCGACTGATCAGAAAATTCCTGCTGCCGCAGAAATTTCTCTGTTCCTACAATCGAGCTTCAGTCCTTTTAGTCCTCTGCGGGCTACGGAAAATTCAATCCACCAACGGGGAATTGTCTTTCCTGCCACGAGCATCATCTCATTCAAGTTCTAACTCGCGCGAGAAAAGTGCCGGTTTGGGGGAAGAGGCATGGCTCGCCAAGCGGGCTGCGGAAAGCGTCGGCAAGAGAGTACATTGTATTCAGTATGCAGCATCGGTAATCGGCCGCCAATCGGCGACGTATTATTTACCGGACACGGTACGCTCCCGAGAAATTGCGAAACCTCCGGTCTTTTTTCCCTCTCACCGGTCTCAGGGGTCGGTTATACACAGCTGTTTCGAGCGAGCGTTCCGTCTCGAGCTGCACGGTGGCGTCTTCGTTCCGGAAGAGCGCGCCTGAAAATTGTGCAACCGAGCCGGCACGGAGAAAACTCGACATTTTTCCCGCCGACCGGTCACAACAATGTCTCTTTCTCCCGGCGGGAGAATCGTTTCACCGATTTCCTACCTCGATGACGATCCGATCGATTATGCGACACGGGCCGGGCACTTTCGTTCGCGCTCCTCCTCGCCGCCATGCTCGCGCTCGTCGTGCTCGTTGTGGACGCGCTTGTTTGTTGTGCTCGTCGTCGTCGTACTACGCGCTCTTGCTGGGAAAGTCCGTCGCGTGCGAGGAGAAAGACGCGCCTCGGGACGGGATGCCTATCGACGGACGCATCCTTACGAGTTAAATAATTGGAAGCCACGGGAGGGAGGGAGGGGGAGAGAGAGAGAGAGAGAGAGAGGCGCCCACACCGCGTCGCGGCCCGCGCAGTCCCTGAATGTCCCGTTGCGTAGAAATCGCGCGCGTGCGAAATTGCAGGATCGATCGGGGTAACTGTGACAGTCGGCTAAACGCGACACACGACGCGACGTGTCGCGGCTGTGTGCTTTCCGATCGTAGAATGAATGCTGGTCGAGACCGGGAGATTGTTAAAAATAACCGTCCATGACCGCTCGACCGCAGCTTCACTGCAAATAAGTGGAGTCAATTATGATTTTTGCCGGCGATTAATGGCGAGACCGCTCCCGCGCAGAGACTGTTGAATATTTATTCGATATAATGATAGGAATTACGTGAGAGCGCGATAAATGTCATTGCTGGAGAAATGATTTCTCCTCGTGCGACATTTCGATATCCTACCGTGGTCGATCGAAAAATCACTGTCGATCCTCTCGTACGCGCGAAGGATCGCCATCGAGTTTCCCCTTATCGCGCCTACGCGTCATTTCGCTCCTCTTGACTCCATCTCCCAACGCTCGTCCCCGCCTCTCCCCCTTTTCGCTCCTCTTCGTTGCTCCTGCAGCATCTCCGAGAATACGTGGTCGTGCCGCGTCGATCTCGTTCGTGCGAGAATCCAGATCGCCGATAAACGAAATCACCGCGCGACGCACAATGCGTGTCTCGACGAAGTTCATCCGAGCAAGCCGGTAAGAGTGGCCGTTCGCGCTGCTTTCTCCGAGATTTGATAACTAGAACTGAAGCGGCGCGTACATGATACATCCAATGCGGGCCATTCTCCACGTTAATGAATAACTCGGCGGCGCGTAGAGAACGATAATATGCAAAACGCGCCCGCCGGATTTCCATTGCAGATCGCGCCGCCGCGGCGCGGCGTGTTTCGCGTTGCGCGATCGCGAACGATGACGCCCGCGTTATGCATTCGCTTCGCGTTTCGCGTGTCGGACAATGTGCCGCTCGACGATGAAAATTAACATCGATATAAACGCGCGTTAAAGAACTACCGGCCGCGGTCGTCATCGCCAGCCGCTGATTTATTCGACGCGGCTATCGTCGCGCGCGCGCGCGCGCGCGCGCGCGCGTTTCGCGAGTCCTTTCACGAGTCTTTGTCGCGAGGACATGTCGCGATTATTCATGGGGCCGAATCGTTACTTATCGAGACGACGATCCCGTCAGCGATCCCGAATCGGTCTGTGCGAAACGCGTTTCGGCGCGTGAAGATTTCTTCCTGTTCTTTTTTCTCCAGCTCGACGCGAATGCCTCGTGGGGCTCATTTGCACAGCCGTTGTTGCATTAGCAATTCGGTGTGTAGTGACTTTTTTCTAGCTACGGCTAGTTGGGCTAATTTATACCGGAAAGCCAGTACTCGGCGATAACGGAGCCGGTATTCTCGCACATATGATGTTCTGCCGCGCTTCGCGTTTATTTTCGGCGTTCCCCTCGCTTATTATTTCACATGTGTCTTATTTCTTGCAAATATAACGCGTAATTTATGCTAATCCATGATGCTCACTGCTTGTATTATTGATTAGCCGTAAATTTGTTATTTACGTTTCATCCGCCATTCCAGTAGGCGGTGTGATAGTTTATCGCGGCTATTATGTCATCGTCTCTTATTTCTCTCCAGCGAACTCTCGTAAGTGAGGCAGGATTTATCGATTTTTAATAGCCCCAAGCGTGCCCAAAAATTTCCCAAGTACAACTGTCAGCACTGAAACTGCCGATCCGCTTCTACCGGAGTGGTCGAAGTGACAAGTTTGTGAAAAAGTCGTACGTTGCAGGCCCCAAAAATGCCTCTGCTTACATATTTCAATGTTATCTATCGTTGAAACCGAAGACATATTCGCCGTGTAACATCGCCATGAATAATTTTTCCAAGAGATCACAAACCGGTCATTCTCGACGGCGCACGCCGGTTGTAAAAAGAAGTTGTAATAAGAATCGCCGGGACAAAAAGAACACGGAAAAATAAACACGGCGGATCTCGCTGTTCGATTCCCAGGCAATTGCATGAGCGAGTTCATGGGGCTGATAAAGGGCCGCTACGAGGCGAAGGAGGACGGCTTCCAGGCTGGCGGCGCGACTCTGCACTCCATCATGACCCCGCATGGGCCGGACGCGCGTTGCTTCGAGGCCGCGTCCGAGGCCGAGCTGCTGCCGGAGAGAATCGCCGACGGCACGCAGGCCTTCATGTTCGAGAGCTCGTACGGCTTGGCCGTGACGGAGTGGGCCGAGAAGCACTGCAACAAGCTGGACGACGAGTACTACGAGTGCTGGCAGGGCTTGCGGAAGCGCTTCGAGCCGGCGGCTAAAGCTTAGAGTGAGAAGGCCCACGACGAGTGGCGCATCTTCATCTTGACGCGCCTCCGCGACCGGCAGTCGTTCAGCTTAGACACGAGCCTCTGATCACCATCCTCCTCCTCTTTTCCGCTTTTCTTCAAGATGCTACTCGAGATGAATGTTAACCCCTTGCTGCGTCGATAGACGTCAGTTGATTTTATGTCACAAACAATCACTTTTGTAAGTGAGAACTATATTATATTTGTGCTCAATATATTATATTTGTAATCGCAAGCGATCGTAAAGTACAAGTATACTTGTACTTGTAACCGTAAAATATATTATACTTATAAATGTGTTGCGGGAAGCGGATATGCAAATATTTTCGCGATATTGTCACGAAGTAACCGAGCATCCACGACGGATGATCGGCTGGACAGAAACTCAGACTCAGAAAGTTGAGTCTTTCGACACGTGTTTTCTAGCGCCTGCTTGTCTGTTTTCGAAATCTTGGAGATTAAATCGAGATTGCTCATATCTCAATGCTGAGAGCGCTCCCTTTTGTCCCTGCTTTCCCTTCCGTCTGCGGCTGGTTCGTTCGCAAGGCAGTCGGCGCGGTCTCGCAACTAAGCGCATCGGAAAACCGAGGGGTGTTTGGCGAAAGGGAGGACCGAAAGGGCGAAACTGCTCGACAGTCCCCGACATATCCGCGGATCGGGAGAGCAGCATCGCGCTCGGCCTCGCGAATTTTTCTTGCCTCCGCCGAGAGAAGCGCAACGCTTTCGTAGCTCACGCGCGCGCGTACGTCCGTGAGATATCGCGCGAAGAAACGGCGGAGTTATCTGGTGCGTGCAGCTGGGACTGGTTATGAATTCGCCGGGGGTCGACGATATCGTCCGCACGAATATTGCTACACACGCGAGTGCTAGGAACTTTTAATCGCGCATCCACCTCTTAACGGAGAAAATCGCGGAGGCTCTCGCGATCGACGTCCTTGCGATTCGACGCGAGAGCGCGTCAGATAAGCTCATGCGGTGTGTTACGGGGGGAGCCGCTGATAATAAGAAGGCGACATTCGCCGGGCACGAAGACCTCAGGGAGGCGATCACGAATTTTTCCCTCCGGGGAGAACTTGTAGAAAGCGAACGTTTTTGGGAGAGGAGAATCAAGTCAATCTCCTCGAATTAGAAAATTTCATACATACGAATAGTGAGAGGACTACCCGACTTCTCGACAATGAGAACTTGGTCCGAAGGTTAAAAAGAACTGAACCTTTTGAACTGGCGCGGTGAGAATTGAGGACTGGTGTGAGAAATGTGAGTGGGACACCATTGGGCGAACCACGAATTGAATACAAAAGAGTTATTAAAAATAAATTAATGGTTGGTCTTCGAGTTCTAGTTTTAATATCTATTAAAGAAAAAAAAAGTTGGGAGATTTGTGCCTCTCACGAGTTCGCGAGTTGGAGGAGGAGGAGACTCTTGATCGAGCGTGAAATCTCAGTCGCGATCGATCGACGCAACCGATTCCGCAACATCGATAGCGGACTCTAAGGACGCGCGACGTGAAAAATTGTAAAGGTCGCGCGATCACCGTACTGCGACCGCGAATTCGCAGTCGCACATATTTGCGATCTCATTCTCTGTCTACACTGACGAGATAAATATCATCTTACCAGCGGTTTAACGCTCATATATTTATGTTTATAATGGCTGCGTTTATAATGGCTGCGTTCAGCAGAACAAAGTGATCAGTGAGCGCTTAGTGATTCTCGCTCCTGATTGGTAAATACTTCTGGGTCTATGAGGAATCTAAAAGAATGATCCAATCACAGACAATGATCACTAAGCGCTCACTGATCAGTTTGTTCTACTGAACGCGCAGCCATTGTTTATAAGACATGCAATTATCCATGTCTCGCGACGCGCAACTTAATTACTTTAAATAACCGGCGCGTGTCACATTTTTCCGCGATCGAATTGCGAGTCGAATCGAAGGTATCGCGCCTTTCGCTCCTCTCTTGTTCCTCTCTGATATATCTCGCGGTCAATCCACCCAAGAAGCTCGCAATTACATCGCGCTGTTATTTTCACCCGACACTTCCCTCCGTTGATTTCATTGAAATCTCGCCAAACCAATGCGTATCCTTCTTCCTGCAGAATTTCCTTTCAATCGTACGCAACGATCTTGTTGAAATGAGTGAGTCGCAAGCGCGGAACGAAGGAACTCGGCAGCTCCTCACGGCGGGAGGAAGAAGTGTATCGATAGGCGCGTGCTGCAACCCGCTTCTTCATCTTCCTCGAGACTTCGTCAAAACCGATGCGTGTCTCTCTTCCAGCGGAATTTCCCTGCACTCGCACGCGACAATTTTGTTGAAATCAACAGCGCGGCACGCTGTTCGGGAGAACGGGAAGAAGAAGCATCGCGACAGGTGCGCCACACACCTGCCTGCTCGTCAGTGCTCTTCCTCCTCGCTGTGCCTCGTGGTAATCGTTCTCACTCGTTGAGCTGGCGCAAGCGACGACATTGTATCACCGTTGATCCGCAAGGCAGAGCTTCTCCTTGCCGACGGTAGGCTGTGTACTTGGCAGTACTTGTCGCTCCCAGCAGGGTCTTCGTGGTGTTACGACTGTCAGCAGAGAGTGTCTCTAGTCGCTTCCCGGAGAGTGTTCCTCGAGCAGCTCGCGTCGTATTGCGTCGTGTTTGACGTGCGTGCACCAGCGTAGAAATCTCGCGGGTCTCTTCGCTTCCAGCTGACATTTGGACGTAGCGCGGCTCTGGGCAGCCGCGGAGTGAGAGAGACCCGGTGGTCGCCGAGCCGACGAGTCTGCCGACGATGTCCAGGTCGACGGTGTGCGTCGCCTGCCGAATGTCGCGCCTCGCGAAATAACGGGTAACCTAAAAATGCGCGGCCAACAAATCCGCCGCGTCCTCGCGTTCGTTCTCCTGTGCCTGCTGGGTGAACGCGCCGCGGCCTCGCATTGTTATCCGGACTATTGTAAGAATGTGGTGAGTGCTTTCCTCTCGTCCGTTGCTCATCCCGTCGGTCCATGGGTCGCCGCGGAGTGCCGACGGGCGTGTTATACGGGAGTGTTTCATCAGGCTACGCGTGTCAGACACGCGATCTAAAAATTCGTAATCTAAAAAATCCAAATCCAAGAGATGGATTCAGAAGAGATCAGCTTTATCGCGATGCACGCGCGCGCGCGCGCGCGCGAATTATCGCGCCATGTCCGTTATCTTCGTTATTTTTCATCATTGAGAATCATATCGCACTGTCTTCCACGTAGCTGCTGTCGAGCTGCGGATTGTGGGGATTCTCGATTTCGAGCCACCGCGCGCGGGCTCTTTGTGCGCAAAAAGGAGATGTGGAAAAGGCTCCGGTGATGATATCCAATCAATAACGGAGCGCAAAAGGCCGATAAGAGACCACGCACGACGCTCTGCGATAACTCGTATAATTCGTGCGCAATTCAGGCTGACGGAAGTCTCGTGATACTACGCGTCAATTACTCATTGTATGAATCCGTTGTTCTTCGTATGACTAATGTTTGGTACATCGCGCGGCTCGTTTATCTGTGATTGCAAGCGGATGGATAATAAGAGGTGACGCCGCCGCTGCCGCTTGCGCGATGAGAGCGGACGATAAACAAATCTAAAATCAAATTTTTATCAGTCCCCCTCCTTTCTTATCAATTCGATCGCCACGGGTTAATTGCGAATGTCGTACCTGGACCGACGTGATACGACCTCGTGTCTGCGATTACTTCGTTCTTCTCTGTCCTTTTGTCTTCATTTCTCCGCCTTTTAGACTAAACTGGTGCCAACACCGGGCTATCAATGTGTGTTAACTTCGGTACAAAAGGGGAAAGGTAGGAAATGATAATAAATAACTCGGCGAAGGTTTCTCTCGCGGGCGAGACTCGATGTGTGACCGTCGCATGATTTTACAGATTGCGCGAAGTTCAACTTCGAGGATGCCGACGAGACTTCGTCCAAGCACGACGACACCGCGATTTTCACGCTGTCCGCGTACGTCGTGGACTTTGGGGGCTTCCAGAAAGCGACCGCCTTTAATTTATCCGTCTCAGACATCAACTTCCACAGTAAGCTCGCATGAAACCGCGAAACCATGAAAGCGCGAGACCACTCGATCGTCCGATCAAACAAATCTAACGCTCGATTCGTTGCTTTCTCCATCAACACACACTCGTCGGTGCCGATTTTCTTGGCATTTTACCAAATACTTAAGAGTCGGTGGAAATTTTCAGTCACACGCATCGTGTCCTCTGGATATACCGTACCGTACGTACGTGCATTGACTGTTGATTATTCACAGGAATATCTCACATATTGCTTCTTTTATATTATTGTATATATTTCTTTATAATTCTGCCTCTTTGAAAAATTACATTTTCTGCGTTCTTACATATTTATATAAAATTTTTATTGATTTCCCTTCCCTCCTCTTTCATCTCTTGCAGATGTCGATTGTTAAACAGAAGATCGCGGATTGTACCGCGATGAATGATTTCTCGTATATAAATATATATAAACGTGATCTTGTCTTTTATGTGCCACAAATGTCGTGCACTGTCTGAAAATAACATTTGAAACACACGCAGTGTTCCCGGATAATAAACAGCCATGCTTGTGATGGACAAAATGTTCTTATTAGTAATCTTACGTCCAGTAAGTGTCAAGAGATCAGCACCGGCGAGTGCACGCGGACGTGGTATCGCGTACTAAAATATCTGAAAACATCTAAATGTGAAACAGGGTTATTCACGCGTTATCAATACATCGTCGAGCCGGACGAAGGCGTGAACGCGTGCAGACACGTGGAACTATACGGCAACTCGAGCCACCCCTCGCCCCGACACCTGTTTGTGTCGTGTCCCTTCGCCGGTGACACGTACGAGGGCTTGCCGTATCGCCTGGAGTACGCAGTGATGGGCGACGACTTCGCGTACGTCAGGAAATATGTCTTCTACGTGCCGCAGCATAGGCACTTTGGTGGGTCTCGGCGGCGAGTCGGCCGCGTCGCATATGTCAAGCTCGCCGATTGTCACGCTAATCGCACGCGAATCTTCCAGAGGACGGTGTCGCGCTCGGCACTCATGTGCCCTTCATCTACGTAGATGTGTCGGACCCGTCGAATCTGGCGCTGTACATACAACCGCTTCCACCGAGCTACAACGTCACCAGCTACCGAGCGTGGCTGATCCGCAACGAGACCAGCTCAGCGGTCAGCGCGATCTTACCCGCGAACGAGCACGGCGGACACATACGGTATAACTTCACCGCGCCCGACGGCGTGTACTACGTGAAGGTAGCGGCGTTGCATCCCGACTGTGACCAACACGGCTGCGCGAACAGCACGTCGCCGTTTATACCAATAAGTAAATGCGATTCAAATATCGATTCTTCCGCTTCGTCTCGAGGGAGGCTAACTCTTTCTCTCTCTCTCTCTGTCTCTCTCTCTCTCTTTCTCTCTCTCTCTCTCTCTCTCTCTCTCTCTCTCTCTCTCTCTCTCTCTCTCTGTGTGTGTGTGTGTGTGTGTCTCATTCCATCTGTCTTTCTCTCTCGTGTTCGCAGAACATGCGTCCGACCGACTGTTGATCATGATAATCAGCATGATATGGATACCGCCCGTGCTGTTGTACGCGCTCTACCACGCGTTCAAGCTCCACCGCAAGCGGGGTGAGGCTCTTGTTTTATTTTCGTTCTTTTCTCCCCTTACGAAAATCCCACGTCCGAGATCATGTAGCCGCGCGGGCGAGTTGTCGTGCTTTTCAACACGAGACGGGTATCTTTTGACAGTCCTAAGAGGCATATCGAGGAGACCCAATTGCCTGTTGATTTACTCCCCGACGCACGTGGCGCACGTGCAGGTGATGGAAGAGTTGGCCAAGTACCTGCAATGCTGCAACATCAACGCCATGATCGACATACTCAACATCCGCGACATCGCCAGTCAAGTGAGTTATCAGCCGAACTGCGTCGCGTTATCTCGTTGTCGACTCGCCGATTCGTCAGGCTGATTTCCCGAAACGTTGCCGCAGGATCCGGGGATTTGGTGCAACATGGCGTTCCGGGCCGCGGACGTCGTGCTGGTAGTTACGTCGCCGCCGTCCACATCGTCCTCCTACCCGAATGTGTACCGCAACGTGGACAAGCACCTGCTGCGACTGCTCAAGGAGAACTACCCGCAGCGGAACAAGCGGTACTACGCGCTACACTTGCCGTACTGCGACGCGGACGACATACCGGAAGAGGCGCGCCTCTTCAGGATGTTCCGGGTGCCGCGCGACCTGCGGAAGCTCGTGAAGACGATCCACGGTATCGGTTGCCTGCGGTTCCTCTCGCCTCGCGACAACACCGGCATCCCGGAGATTCTCTACAGCATCCAGTTGGCGGCAGACATGCTGGTGAAAGAGCAGAACGCCAGTGTGGCAAAGAGGAAGACCGAGGAGACTGGTAAGGCCACCGTTCCCGCGATATTGCGCTCGATGTCATCGACGTAAAAATATCTGGGCCGAGTATGCGCTGTTAAATTATGCGAAGGGGATAATCTGCCGATCTGCGGGAGTAAGGGGAAAATTACGGTACTTAACTCGCCATCATTATTCGACTCACATTTGCACTATACTGTATTAAGGCTTGCAACGTTTTGTCTGAGTTTCTTCGTAACGCATTCAGTATCCGATAGGAGAATTTGTTTGTTGTACCTCGCGAGAAATACATTTTCCTATTGAGCGCGGATCGCGTTGTGGAATTCATCGAGGGGCAATTTTACGGCCAGTTTAATCAGCCGACTACGCTGATAACTCACGATAAGTTGACGCAGCGGATGCTTCGGTTGCTTATCTCGACTGTTTGCGAACATCATGGTTCTAACCCGAGTCGGATATTATCTGAAACAGTCGCAAGACGCAGACGCTCCGGGTCCAGATATTTTTATGTCGATGTTGAACGTCGAAATCAGCGAATTTCATTCGGTCGATTATGCTGGATTCCCCGTAGACGACCTGCTGCCGTCGGTCGTCGTGCGACAGACCGCCGAAAGTCGCCGCGAGTGCGAGCCCGAGCGAGTCCTCCCTACGGATGATCCCGACATCCCCCCGGACGTCGGCGATGTTATACCGCAATCTTTCGCGACGGATATCAACGAACTGAATCTGCTCGGCGAGAACGACGAGAAGGAGACCGCGAGGAGCGCCCACTCGGCGAGGAGCGACTGTGAGTTCCGCATCGATAGGTTAAACTTGTAATTTCTTCTTCGTATGTGTAAACGTAGCTCGTAAGATTTGTTTACCGCGATCGACTGTGTAGATTTAAGATAAAGACCGACTTTCCCCAACTTTCTCTATTAATTCGTGTCGCGAGAGCATTTTTATATCGAGAGAGAGAGAGAGAGAGAGAGAGAGAGAGAGAGAGAACTTCGGTATCTCTTCTTCTCTCTCCCCCTCTTCCGTGTCTGAGTACAGATCATGTCTCTTAATTACACGACAGTTCGATAGATAAAGTTCACGGAGAAATTCCTAAAGGCAAGAATAAATCTTGTGAAAGAAAGAAAAAAGATTTTTTTGTTTTACCTCAACCTCTAACGACGAGATAACAAAATCCCCCTTCCGTTCGAAAATTGTCGCCTGTCGCACCACCGGCGGCGGCGATATCGCATTACGCAAGGACGAGGGAGGCATGAGCGCCGCTGAAAAACAGGTAAGATTAACATAAGCTTCGTACACCGTTGTGAAAGCGCTTTATATGTAATTCTGTAATATATTAATTACAAGAAATTAATATGGCACATAGCATTTATACGTAGATTAGCCGAGCCATACCGACGCGCTCGCACGTCGGTGTCGTTGTTGACTGAATTAGCGCGTCGGCGGGTGGTAACGAAGTCAAGAGAAAAGAAGAAGGGAAACGAAAGAGAACACCAAACGTCGTGTCGCAAAAGATGAAAAATCAGATGCGATTGTCGCGCTCGCGCGACGAAAGCACTAGCCTAGTTTCGTGGAATGTTGCATTTATACATAAATACAAAAGGGACGACTCTCTTTGTTATCTCTCAACCGTGGGATCGCTCTCACGGCGCGAGACGCGCAGTCTTCTTCTTTGGATATGGAGTGTCGCCAGCTCTCGCACTTCACCGCGTCTCGTGAAAACCGCCGCTCGTCCTTCTACTACTCGTGCGTCGCTGTGTGCGATCTGCTCAAGTTGCCTAGGCCACACGAAAGCCACAAAAGCCTAGTGCGACAGTAGAAAGTATCTTTCGTTTCGAGGGAAGCGTGACGATTCAGTTACGGATCCTGGTGACTGCGTGCAGGGTGTCCCGCTAGTTGCATCTAATTCTCCGCGCTCGCGAATGTTTGCCAACGGAAATTCGATGGAAGCCCGGGCATCTTCGATAGAAAAATTTCCGGAGCATTGAGTGGTTGACGGTAATTATACGGCTCGGGTGAAACTTTTTATCGGAACTGCCGACGACGACGATAGAGAAACGATCCATCCAGTTGTGAAGGTTCCCGTCTCGCGGGCACCCTGTACGTAGCGTTCGTCGGTCGCGAGGAGACTTGTCGCTTTGAATGAGCAAACTACTCTCCCAAACCTCATCACAGTTGCGTAGTGTGACACACAGAAGACACTTAACGCCGATCGGCGAACTCGATGATTCTCCTTGAGAAAACCGCGCGAGTGACTTATATATGATGCGTAACTATCGGTATTAAGTAGTAAAAGCGGCCTTACCACTGCTGGTCGACAAACTGTCGTACAATTTTAAGTACATAAAAATAGGATAAATTATTTACTAATTTTCTTCACTCGCTACATGGTAATCATTCGTTCATACGATACTGTCTGTTCTCTCAAGTCTCAGCGGAGCGCTCCGTTCGCTTGTCCCAAGAATTCTTCAGGCATTACTCAGCGATTCTCCGGGAATTCTTCTTCAGATTCTTCGGCAGCTGCTCTTCCGGAATTCTTCCGCCGCTGCGAATTCCCCGATCCAATCGTACCATCGCATGCTCCTCTATAAATTGCCATAAAAATTGGCAGTTTTCGTTTCACTGGAATCGCTCGTGCATTTCTCGCTTGCGCTTCTCGTTCTTCACTAGATAACTACGTCACTCTCTCACGATTCGCGCGAGCGCTGTTCACTCCATCAGATCTCCTCTCGTTGTTCTCTCATCGTATTCGCTCGAAGACTTCGGGAACACGTTGAGATTCGGGAAGTCGAGCGTGTATCCTGATTCGATCGTGGAAGCTTCTCATTTGTCGGACATCCAATCCAATTTAGGATTAGGTAGCTCAATTTGTCACGTTATTGTCGCTCCTGTCGTCGTCCATACTGCCGAACATCAAGAGGTCCTCCGTCTCAGTCGATTTCTTCCCTTGCATGTCAATATAGGACTGAGGACGTTCCTGACTGCATATTCGCAGGTCGTTCTCACTGTTGCTGGTCACACTAGTATTTCTCAGTTTAATGGGACTCTCGTAATGATTAGCGTTGAGGCTTGCGGGTCGATCGTTCACGTAGGAGGATTTGACGGGCTCCTCGGGGAAGGACGCTATGGACATCTGCCAGAGCGCCTGCAATTTGTCCACCTTGTCGCACTTGGTGACCGGCTCGGAGGACATTCTGCCGAGGTAATTGACGGTGTCCGTCTTCAGGTTGCTGACAGTCTCGTTGTCATCGGAATCTGAAACGATTTCGTCGGAAATCCTCGAGTGACACAAAATCGCATCGCCAGATCGGGAAAGAGCGGCAACAACTCCAATTAATCGCCCGTCAAATGCACCAAATATTGATATTAACAGATTGCGGACCGGAAATGCGAATTGACGTTTTTAATTTCTGAAGCGTTAAAAGCTGAAAATGTCATTTCCTGTCTACAGGGGAATGAGACACGGTACATTTGTAAATTCTGCCTGGTACTTTTTCAACCTTTTGAACCTTACAGAGGATGATATTTCAATATGTAATAAAATTGCTGGTGTACTGTTCGATTGTACAAAGTTCATTATAAATCACACAAATGTTAAATAGTTTATATTTTATTCAATATTTATTTGTATACGAATAATACTAAATATATATATATATATATATATATATATACACACACACTTATTTATTTATATTTATATTCGTACATTTATATATACAAATAAAATATTACTGCTGCATGCGCGGTCCGCAATGTGTTAATCGGAAGCAACATCGACCAGTCTGTTGTTTTAACGCTAATCCTGAAGATAAGAAACAGAAGCGAGAAATATCTCGAGTCGATTTGTGTAACTCACCGTCCATTTTGTCCAAGGAATGCAAGGACTCAAAGTAGGCCTGATTGTGGACGGTTCGCGGATTAAGATCGAGATACTCGATACCATCCTCCAGCATGCGTTCCCAATGGCAGGTCAGTTCCTTGAAAGACGGCCGCATGCCGGGCTCCAGATGCCAACAGGACATCATCAGCTTGTATCTGGACAAGAGAGAGAGAGAGAGAGAAAAATATCTTGGATACTTTTCTCCGAAAGTTGTAAAAACGAAAGGTAACTTTGCGATCCTCTTGCTAAGCGCGAGAATAAAAATCCACTTTTACGGCGACCTTTACGACCAGCTGAGGAAGTTAACCTACTTGCTGCCTGGCTCTCTTCCAGGGCCAGTTGTAATTGAAAAGACGCCGCGTTCGATTGCTGGATCATGTCCTCCGCGTAAATCACTGTTCCCTGCCATGCCGCGATCTGCGCAACGCTAATTCAACGGCGGAATCGCCACCGTGATCCAGTCTTCACGAAGACGAATAATTTATGCGCGACCGGGAGCTCCAACTGCTCATTACGAATTTCTTTTTTCCGCTAATAACGCGAACCTCGCGGCAGTTACGCATATCGCGCGAATTGGAATTACGTGTCATAAGTTTCATTCCATCAACGTTGGGGTCAACCAATCAACACGTCCACCGTCTGTGGATGAGGTCTTCGAACGCGCGCGCGCGCGAGATTTTCTGTGAAATATATATTCTCTTACGGTTGATAACTTGTTTCACAGGAACCAAACATTTTCCTTCAACGCAGAGGCGATAAGACGCGCAGGGGAGATAATTTTTACATGAAAGATAATTCGGGAAGTCTCCGTGTCTTTGTGCGAAGGCAACGCTGAGCCTCCTCAGCGAACACATGGCGCGATTTTCTCGACCCGAGCACTTACAATTGCTGCGAACAATTGACCGGCCTCTCCATGCGATAGCCGGACTTGAGGAGATTGTAGAGATTATGTACGTCCACTCCGGGATACGGCGAGGCTCCCAACGTGACCAACTCCCACAGGAGCACGCCGAAGCTCCAAACATCCGATTTGCTGGTGTACACATGGTCGGCCAGGGACTCGGGCGCCATCCATTTCACGGGCACTGCGGGCCAATTGTAAAATCTCGGATAAAGCGGCTACCTCTGAAGGTAGCGCGAGTCATTACAGATGTTTTTCTTGCTGCGAATTCTCGCGAGAGCGGCTGCGAGAGCGAGAACGGATCGCAAGAACGGATTGCTATCGAGCGCGCCGAAGAAACGCTAACTGCGATCTGTAATTTTGTCCTTAATCCTCGTCCTCATTAGCCGCGAGTTCGTGCTTGATCCTCTCGCCCCACTTTCGCCATTATCTGCAGATTTCTCCGCGAAAGTCGCCAACTTCAGGCAGAGAACTAATTTTGCGGGTCAGGCCTTACCTCGCCCTTTGCTGCGCTTCAGGTACGCGTCGTCCTCGTAGACGTCGCGAGTCAGGCCGAAGTCCGAGATCTTGCAGACCTTTCCAGTGGCGAGCAAAACATTCCTCGCCGCGAGGTCCCGATGCACCAACTGTACCGCGCAGAAAACTTTGATTAATGCTGACCTACTCGAACGAGGGAAGATATTCCGCGATGTCGTCATCCCCGCGGGAATATGGGCAGAGGAACGCGATTGCGCGCGGCCATAAGCCGCGCTGACCAGACTGTAACTCTGGACTTTCTGATTACCGACTACTCTCCCAAGGTCGCCGATTGATATTTTTAATTTTGTATCTTCCACATTTTCTTTTCTTTAAATATCTCTCCCTTAAATATCTTAAATTCTCCGGAACGGGTAATATTTAATCCCGGCAAATGCCTCGAACGCCGCGTATACCTTCGCACGAAATTCCGTTACCTTAATGTCGGCGAGATACGCCATCCCTTTGCTTATTTGCCAAGCGAACGAGAGAATATCGTGCGGCGTTATAGTGTAGGTCAACGCGTTATCGGCGCATCGCGACTCCTCGCCGGTGTTGTTGCCCGACGAAGCGGAAAGCAGAGACGTCGAGCAGCCGGTTCTTCCTTCCGTCTTCAAGTTACGGCTGCGCCTCAGATAGTTGCTGAAATTCCACGCGAATTCGCATAATAAATTTGTCGCGCGAACCGCGCGTGCGGTATTCGCAGCGGTGGCGCGCGGATGGTCGATGCAATCGTCCGTTCGTTCCGAGGACGAACCTCGCGTGCGACTGGTTGCGCGAGTCCACCGCGAAGAAATTTCGTTACTTCACTACCGCAGCAGACCTCAGTTTCTCTCTAATTGTGCCCGAGTCCTTTCCGACCGCGGCACAAATTCTTGGGTCGTATTACTCGACGCAGAGCTAAGATCTTGCGACTCTTTTCTTTGACATTTCGACACCGTGTTTCAACGTATTGTAATTATTAATATTTCCAATGAATTGTAATTACTAATATTGTAATTATTATTACTTATATATTCCCTTTCTGGTTTAATTTTATTTTTATTTCAAAAATTGTTCATTCTGTTATAGTATATATTTTGCATGTATAATTCATTATGATGAACGCAAACGTGAACGTGAGTGCCACTGAGTGAAGAAAGTGCCGTTGATCGTGTTTAGAATATTTTAAATTGGCTCGAGGAAGACCCGGACACGGTTAGCGGCTTGATTGAAGGCCGGTGGTAGAAGGCGGGGAGGCTTCCGTGATGGTTATTGTGCCGGCAACGCGGCGGGATTCCGATGGCGCGGAATTTCCGCGTTTATAAGTCGTTCGCGCCAAGGTTTGTTGACCCTCTTTGTTCATTTAGAGGTGCGCGCATGTAGCGGCATCGTTGGCATAAATGGGGTAACACCGCAGCGCCCTCCTGGCGCGTGTCTCCTCCAGGTCGCAATGAGACAATAAAAATACCGAGACGCGCATTCCGAGCTCGAATAACCCCCGTGACCATCATTTGCCCATTCTTCACGCCCATTCTTACACTCGGCGAAATGATCATCGCCGCGACGCGTCCCACTAATTCAAACGTCGGGAAACAGGCGTCGCGGGAATTTTATTAGAAGCTTGCGGAAGTCCGCCGGATCGCCAACGATTTCGTCGCCTCGGAAAATGAACCATTGTCCGGAACCGGACAATTAACTGCAAGCTGGCAGAAAGGTGGCGGACAACACAATGAAAGCTTCCGGACAGATAATAAACTACTGTAAATCGGCCACTGGTGACCAGTACTATACAATATTACCGCGCTTCGTTCGCACAGAGCGTAATTAATTGAGAAGTACTTGAGGAAGTTAAATTACGTGGGATATAATTAATTATAATCTGGAAACTCGGTCGTACAAGTAGCAGAGAAAGAGAGAGAGAGAGAGAGAGAGAGAGAGAGAGAGAGAGAGAGAGAGAGAGCTGAGTTGAAACAAGGCTTAATCACGAGTCGAAACTTTTGTACGGGTGACGGGCAACAACGCGGCGGAATTAATGCGTGTTAATGAAGGAGACACGTCGAAAGTCGGAAGATCCGACGAATTTTCCCAGAGTTCCCGATACCATCGCGTTCCAGCCACCGCGGAAGTCGTAGGTAGCCGATTCCGACGGACACGGCGCGCGATTTACGCGGATTCGCTCGCAGCCGTCGATAAGACCAGAAAGCCGTGAAACGGAAGGGTCATAAATAACGCGGGATAACGTCGGTTCTTGAGCGTCTATATATATATATATATCACGGCGCCCACTTACCGTAAGGAACCGAATTCGGCGAACTCGATGATGAGGTAGACAGGCGCGCCCGGCGTCGTGCAAGCTCCCAGCAGCCGGATCACGTTCGGATGCTGCGCCTCTTTCAGCAACTGATACTCGGACAGCAGATCGGCCAACTCGGAGGCGCACGCGTCCTCCTTCAGGGTCTTCACCGCCACGGTCGTGGGCCCGGACCATCCGCCGATGTCGATGGCTTTGGCACGCAGGACGCGCCCGAACTCACCCTCGCCCAGCACTTGCTCGATCGTCAGCCGCGACCGAGGGAACTCCCACTTCGGGTCCGGCTGAGGAAAGATTTCGGGCATCGAGGCTTATTGTTGAGATGTCTCGAGATCATCGATTGCGCCGGGCTTGCGCGCAAGCTCGTCTCGACTCATGGATACAATCACTTTGCGCGCCTGATTTCATATCGTGACGTAAGAGAGACTTTCCGAACTCGGGGAGATGTTGAGTTTTTGATTTCGCGACATTTACGCCGACGCTCTCGTTGACTCATTTTCGCTCGTGTTTGACAAAAATCTGATGAGCCTGCTTCGACAACTAACGCTTAATGATTTAATAAGATTCGCCCCTGATTCGATTTATAGGTATTCGATTTGCTCCCGATTTAGATTCTTACTGAATCACTTTTTTATGTCTAATCGAAAATTGACGAGTCCATTTCCATTCATTTTTAACAATCTTGTCTGATTTATGGTGGATGATTTGATTTATGGATAATCAACTTTCGCTCTCGATTTAATTGCACGTCGTAGCGAGACACTTTCGCGCATCGAGGGCTGTTAACTTCTTCATTTCGCGACCATATCAGTTTATAGCTTTTACCCATTTGAATCCACGTTTAATCGAAAATTTAAAAGCCTACATTTAAGAATCTCGATAATTAATTTTTATATATAATGGCTACATAATTTTAATATCCTTAGTCTCTCAATCCCAATAAGAATTCGAATGTTGATATGGTTGCAAAATTAAGAACTGAACACTTCCGAAGGTTCCTCAGCGACGAGAAACTAAATCGGGAACAAATCGAACATCCACAAACGGAATCAGGGGCGAAAATGATGATTGTTAAATGTTAATTGTCGAAGCAGCTTCGTAAAATTTTTGTTCCCTCGCGAGTCTCACGGAAAATATTACCACGGTGGAAATAACGCGCGTTACAACTCGTTCAATTTTTACTCCTTTCCAGTCGCAATCCTCTCTCGCTCCTTCACGCGAGACACGAAGAACAACTTGGAAGATACAGCGCGAAGAAGAGCGGCGAGGGTGAGCGCGTCGATTAATAAATCCTTCCGTGCTAGTTACGATAAAAGCTTCTCGCTCCCTTTAATCCGACATACTACGTCCCGGTGGAACGTGTTTCCAGCTTCGGGCTCGCAAACGCGCGTAAGATATTACACCGTTTGTGTTACTCCGCACGAGTTGCTTCGCGACGGACGCCGGCCGGAGATCCAATTAACCGACGGTTCGGGAATGATAATGGTGGGATCACGTAGATAATGAGAGATTCCGCCACGCATTAGTACTCGCGTGACTCGCGTCCGACGAGAATCTCGCGATCAGTTCGCGAGCCGCATCCGTTGATCCATTCGCGTTGATCTTGTTCGACCGACAAACTATTAACGGAGATTGCGATCCGAGATGACACGGCGAAACCCGCGAGTACGCGCGGAGGAACCATTCGATCGATATAAATACATTTCGGTTGCGTTTCGCAGAGAGACGACATATCGGGAGAGAGAGAGAGAGAGAGAGAGAGAGCGACAGAGCCACAACGCGAGATCGGACTCTTTCACACGGCACGTCTCTCGAAACGGCACTCTCGATACATGAATTTTGCAGCACCACGAATGTCAACTTGCGAAAGTGGTATCATCGCGCCTCGCTCTCGACACCTTGCTATTTCCTCTCAAGAGCGTCGGAGGCTCTCGAGGATTGCTCGTTCTTTTCTGTTTTTTCCACGTCGTCTCTTCGTTCCCTCTTCTCGTTCGCCGCAACGACGAAAACGTGTTCCCGCGAGGTGACGTTATTATTTCACCGCGAGTCTTCTTCCGACACGTTGGGCCGTTTCAAGTAACGCTGTCGCGCCAAGTGAAACGGATTAATCGCGCTGGCACGATTAGGTTCTCGCGGCACAGCGACATGATCGGTCTTCGAGCGCCGAGAGCGATAGCGAAATTTGTCGGACGCGAAAGAGCTCTCGATGTGTGACACACGTGCGCGAGCTCTCGCGCCCACGCCAGGCGTCACGAAAGGGTTTACGTGGTATATAAATCCACTGTTCACTGAACCGCGCGTGCACGCCACATGCCGGAGTTACGTTCGTTTCGACGTCGAATAAAAGCGAGGACTTTATCTCGCCGGTGTCGCTCCGAGAGAGAGAGAGAGAGAGAGAGAGAGAGAGAGAGAGAGAGAGAGAGAGAGAGAGAAGTAACCCTCCGCGAAGAATAGAAATATCGCGCGAGCGCCTTCTACCTACGGACATTTCGCCCCATTCGTCTTTTTATCGGCGCAGCGAGCACCCTTTCATTCGATTGTGGACGCTCCGGGCGACGGGAGCTGCGTCAGAATGCGCCTCCACCGCCCGGGAGAAAGAGGTCTCTCTTGCGAAAGAACATCGCCTTGTTGTTAGCTCGAGGCTCGAGTAGCGGGGTGTTAACTTCTTCAGTGCTGTGGACGCATATGTGCATCCGGCAACCGTCATCGGCGTAGACTATGGCAGCGGCGAGGTATTATCAAAGATTGTCAGCCCTGGGCGAACTTCCGTGACCGCGGAAAGGGTCGGGGGAGAGAGTAATTGAAGAAGGATGATGCCATCGACTACCTTCAGTCACCGGGATATCGGACTGAGTAATAAGTAATCTCGGCTTCTCCGATAGATTTCCCAAGAAAGTCCGAAATTGTGCTAGTTAGACAATTCAATGAATATCTGGATATTTTTCGGCGGGATGAGTATCAACTTTAACATTTCATCTCGGTGTTTCATCAATCATCACGCACGCAGCGATCGTTTGGCTTTTTGAAGTGTCGGAGCTCGGTGCTCGAATGGTTAATCAAATTGTTGCACAGATTTTTTTCGATCGATACGCTCGCTCGCTGTTTTTATTATCGAACGGAGGGGAGCCAAAAGTTGGCTCAACTCGAGAAAGTTCTTTCTTGTGTTTGTCAAGATTTTAACGGATGGGAACAAGAAACGTGGCGACGAGCTCTTAATTTCCAAAAAGCTCCGGGATTTCGCCAAGTTCCGTGAAAAATTCCGACGATCCTCACAATCCCGAGCGTCGCTTAATTACGTCGAATAGTTTCGAGAACTGTTTGCGGATGCGGGAGATACCGGATAGTGAACTTTAATTTTCGCGTCACTTCCGACAAATACGAGCGACTCTCCCGAAAAGTTTCCCCAATCGAGGGTGTACGATCGCGTCGGATGTCGGAGGCTTCTTTGCATATTCGCTCGCTGTAAATTACTAAGCCCCCTTGCGCAACGCAGGTCTTTATTCACCCAAGGTGCAAGCGCGGGAGGAGCAAACGCCGCTAAAACACACGATCGTTTGCGATATATCGGAAATCGGAATCGGACGAGTACAAAGAATGACACGAAACGGAACGGCAACGGAGCCGCTTCCGCTTCCGCGAAGCGATAAAATTCCCCCAACTATAAAAGGACTCGCGTTCTCCTCTCTCTCTCTCTCTCTCTCTCTCTCTATTTTTTTGTTTTTTTCGTGCTCTGCGTCAACCTTCGACACATTTGACATAATTTCCATAAGTCGCGAATTTACATTCACTTCTTGAGCATTTTTCGGAGACTCTCGCCGAGATCCGATTTTACGATCGTCGGAATTCCCAAAGTCACGTAACCTTGAAATTTGTCCAATTCCCAACTTTAGATTCGCGGATTCGCCCCGGCAAGCTCCCCCTCTCCTCGTCTCGTCGTCGCATCGTCAGCTCTTACATACCTCCCGAGAAGACGTGACATCCGTTATGCGGAATCGCGCCCCGCCATGAAAGCTCGCCCCGTTTTCCGAGAGATTAGCGAGCGTTAGATCGGGGTGTGATACGCGCACGTTTGCGACAGCGTCGTTAGACAAATATTCCAGACGAACTTGAAGACCAGGAGAGGAAGCTTGACCGAGTTTCCGAGCCCGGATTCCGAGAAGCAAACCCTGTAGTTTTGCATCTCTCTCCGTGCGGCAAGCACGGGAGGGAGCTTACGCGCTTTAGCACGCCCTGGCCTCGGGATTATGCGGCCACACGCTAACACGCTAACACGCGAGCACGCACGTACGACGTATCACGTGCGGGAGAGATGACCGCGGCGGAGAAAAGTCCGCGCGGAGAACCCGTGCAATCCGCCGGTGCGGGACAAAGGCCTTGCCTTTGGTCGTCAGCAAGTATTTTTATCGCGGCGGGGCAATTTATTGTGGAAATAAATAAAGAACGGCTGGAATTTATTTCTTTAATAAAATCATCCGACCGTGCAAAAATGCGCGAAAGCCGCGGGCTACGACTAACCCTCCTTCGACGTAATGAATCGGCTTCATTAGACGCGGGAGAATGGAGGAAGGAATGCGCAGAGAGGCATGAATCTGGGAAATTAATTTTTTTAATGAATATGTTAATGACGTCGAATTTCAACGACGTAAGGCATGTCCTTCTCAGCTGCACCTTTTTATGCATGTCCCGCATGCTAAACGAAGCGGATGTATTTATAGCGGCGGAAAGGCAGGATTGCGCAAGACCGCGGAGAAATATGCTCTTAAATGCGTGAGGAATATTAAAGCTATATTCTCCTTTTGCATTGTAATTCCGTTGCCGCCGTGTGCGAATCATGGCGCTGGACTTGGGTCGCGAATAGCAAGATTTAAGATAATCAACCGGCACGGAAGAACGTGCACAGATAATCCGGATTAAGCAACCCACGGGATAATTCTATTAGTATTATTAAAGGGCCGTTACACACGGAGCGCTCTTTTCTCTGCCTTATACACATCATCCAACCTGGAAAGTCTCAAGTCTGCGGCGGTTAGATAGCGCCGACCGAAGTGTTGCGCCAGCGCCGAGGTAATCAGAAAGTTTCCGCAACTCCTCGTGCACCGTATTAAGCAGCGCGTCGATGTATGAATAATATTATTAATGATATTTCGCGATTAATGCGAGTAGCTGCGCATTTTTAACACGCTCGCCACCGGTCTCACAACAGAGATCAGGACCACGCGTGTGTGACGTGTTATGTAAGATAATCGATCCGCCCGTTTAATACATTTTATGCGTACATCGGTGCAAATTTGCACCGAAATATATTAATAAGTATGGCTTTTGAAAATATAACTATAATTAATCGCGGGCTATAGCGAGCTATTGATTTTTAACCGCACCGGGAGGAAGAACCGGGCGAAAATAAATAATCCTGATGGAAAATAATTATTACGTAATTATGTAAAATTGTACACGAACATGGAATATGACTGTATATAAATTACATGCCTTTACTTTATGCGTGACCACACAAAGACGCGATCGATATAGAATAATTATTTCCTGGGATGAAATGCGCGCTGTACGTGTGTGTGTGTGTGTGTGTGTGTGTGTGTGTGTGTGCATCGATCGCGCCGCATTCCTCGACTTTTAACCGATGTGTAAGCGGTACGCACACAGCGGTAGCTGATATACGACGGTAATTAATTAATGGGAACTCACCGGACACGTCTTGGGCAGCAACAGATGACGATTCGCCGTCGTGAAGGTGTCTAGACCGATCAGGAGGCCGTCACCGCGATCAATGTAGTCGGACGGTAGAATACCAATACCATTCGCCGCATCGTCCACCCTGTGTTTGCATTCCCGTCGTGCGCCCTTCGCCGCCCTCCTGGAACGCGGAGAATCGCGATGCAGAAGATGAGCTACGCGCTGGCTCGCCCGGCCATCTTGGTTTATAGAGCGGAATAGCTTAATAGCTCGGGGATCAACAGCGCCATCGTTAATTACGACGCGCATAAATTCGTCAGCCAGTATAATCCGCGAAAGTAATCACTGCGACGCGACGGAGAAATTTCGGTTAGTTTCGGCAAATAAGTTCTCGTGCGATTCGATGGAGAATGAAGGGGAGAGAAATGCGACGAGAGCCGCAGAATCAGACATATATATCTGACTCCTGTCCTTTTTCGTACCGATTGAATTATTCCGGGATTTATTAATGCAGCTTGGCGCTGGTTAATCCAACGCGGTTGCTAGTTACTTTCGCAGAGTAATTTCGGCAGACATTGACCCAAATTCGAAAGTTTGGCTGGCTCGCGGGCTTGCGCGGACTTCGCAACAGTAAATACGAAATGCACTGACGCTCCTGCGGTTTCTCTCGCCGAATTAGTGACAATTTTTTTCGCAGCCGGATATTTTATCTTCAGCTGAGCGAAGAGCTCGGTTTCGTCGGCTCGACGATCAATTTCCCGTCACAGCGTTCGCACGATCCTTCCGACGGGAAATTGCGGCGACGCATGTGGGATTACGAAATTATAGTCCGGCGTAACTGGGCAACGCACATCGGAAGGTTCAGGGAAGAAGTAGAGGAAGAAGAAGCAACTGATTGCACGCGGCGGACGTAAAGGGGGGGGGACGTGTAGCCGCAACGTGCATATTGCTGAAACTTCCGCAATTCCGCCCGTCGCGAGAGCTTCCGCCGAGTCGTGAGTCGGACTTTAGTTTACTTTGGGAACGGGACGAATACACTCTTACGACCGCGAGATCCGGTCTCGCGAGGAACCCCCTCTGGAATCTTTCAATTCGTATCTCTGCGACGATTTCTTTTCTTTTTTCTTCTCTTTTCTTATAACATGTCACAGATCGCGTTCCATTGCGGAAAATTCCCGACACTTTTCATATCCCGGCAAGTCGCTAAGGGCTAAGGAAATTACGCTCGAAATCCTGTTTACCCGCAAACTTCATAACGCCCTTAACTCCTGCTAAACACCAGGCTCGAGCCGATAAGCTCAGTAAGCTACTGGTCCAGAACTGATAGTTCGGCAAATCCTTTTAAGACCTGTCCGCCATTGAAAGACTCCCAACAGGACATCCCGTCACGGCATCACTCCGCTATTGTCACATCGATCTCACGTGTCGTGGCGCGATTAGTTCCTTCCTAAATGAGCTCTAACGTCTCCCTTGTTATCGATAATTAATTAATCAATAGTCCCAAGAGGCTCGCTCGAGAGCTTCTCGACGATACAACGCGCCGCATGCGGAAGAGACACGCGCTCCGCTATTTCGCTATTTAAATCACCGAACAATACACAAACAAATGTTTCGACCGCTCACCTGTACCGCCACATGACGAACGAGCCGACGATGACGATCAACACGAACAGACTGGCCCCGATGACACCCATCATACACGTGGGACCGCACGGATTGCTGGACGCTACAGAGAAAAGGACCAAAGAAAGTGCGCAGTCGTTAATCACGAGAACGAGAGAACGCAGAAAGCTTGACACGACGGCGTAGATCAAACACGCTGCGCACAGGGAGCTTCGCGTGAAAGGGAGGAGCCGTGACAGGGGATGGCGGGGTCGGCGAGGTAAAGGGAAAACTCGCGGTGTGCAATGACAAACCTTTGCGCGTGCCCGACGCGACGACCTCGTTCTTGCGGTCGCGTAATTTTCCGGCGTACAGTCGCTTCTCTTTGGCGTTTGAGACGATCACGTGGCGAAAGGCATCGAGTCCGCAGGTGCACTTGGGTAGATCGCTGCAGGCGCAGGTACCCAGGCCGCTTTTTATGCCGCGGCCGTTCGGGTGGATGTGCGCGAAGTGCACGTCGGCTGAAAAAACAAAAAAAAAAACGGCTCGATATGAACGAACGAACGCGGCGGCGTTACACGTCTCGCAGGCGGGGAGACGAGAGCGTAATAATCCTGCGTCGGCGGCGGCCCTTAATGCCCCTTTCGATCGGACGCGATCGCGCGATGCGCAACGACGACGGTGACGTGAAATCCTTGTAAATGGAAGGCTTTGCGTACTACGGGCGAAACTGAGGCGGCTTCGAGGCAAACTTTGGAACAGAGAGCTCTTAAAGGGAAGTAGCCTTCTCCTCGAAGGAGAGAGCGAGTTTACGAACTATATCTCAAGAATTTTAGGATTTCGATGACTAGAGTGACATTGAAAGCGTTTGGAACCTTTCACGCTCCGAGAATCATAAAAGTGAAAAAAAACGGTGCCTTTAGGATCGAAGCTTTTAGGATACAGTCGCGAAATTAGCGATGGCTGGCTTAGATTTAGATCCAAAAGTCGAAATCCTTTCAAATTTGATAAGAAACTTTCTGAGCGCGCACCTCAGAGAGCGCGAGAATGGCTTCCAGGAATGTTCCAGGATTTTAAAATAGCAGTTTAGAGAGGGGAGGAAAAAAATGGTTTCTCTCGTGCCTCGATTTCCGCTCCGAACGCTTCGGTACTCGACGATTTATCCGCTGCGACGCTGTTAACGGCCGGACGTAACGCACCGCTTCTCCGCCACGGTATCGTCGAAACACGACGTCGGATTTGCCGCGTTAACCCGATCGACGAGCCGATACGCGCGATTCAACTCACATTCAACGATGCAATCCTGCGGGCATATGCGCGGATCGCTGCGCTCCAGTTCGTCGCACTTGTTGTCGGGGCAGTAAGCGAGGTTCGGCGAGCAGGTGGAATAGCTCTCCGACATCTGAGAAGTGCCGTTGTTGCGGTCGTTACTTCTCCAGACACATTGACCGGCGAAACTGCCATTGCTGCATATAAATATATTGCTCAGAGCTTTTATTGCTCTTTGCTCGCGTCATCACGACGCGGCATACGATAGGCGGGAGGAGGAGAAGAAGGGAGAGGCTAAGGATGCAACTTGTCAATTACCGTCCTTTACCTCATCGCGTCACAAGAGGATCGTTATCGGTGAAAGACAGACCGGGAGAGACGGGAGCGAATCGAGCGGAATCTAATGGAGCAGCCGTAAACTTGAACGAGCTCCCGTCCGAAATAGTCATTACGATGGAGTCGAGTTTCACGGAGACACGGCGGCTTCCGGCAAGGAGGGAAGTAACGGTGCAGCCTCTCTCTCCCTTTGTTCCATTGCAGAGAATTGCACCGGCGATTCCGTCGCGCAGCAGCCGATGGCCAGGGGGTAGTCGATATCGAGGAGAGCAGCCGTGCGAGCAGGTTTGCACGAGGTGTCGGCGAACAAACGCGATTTCTTTCAACGACAACTTCTACTCGGATTTCGCGGAGCGAATGGAAAAGCCATTAAATCGCAAATGGCCTTGATTCATTTTTACGTTTTCCCCGCGCGCAGCATCGACTCGCTCGTTCTCTTTTTCTTTTCGGTCTCTCTCTCTCTCTCTCCCCTCCCCCCTCTCTTTTTCTCTCTCTGTCGCGCTGTTCACCAAGGGCGCAAAGCGAGCAAAGAGCTCGCTGAAAATTCTTGACACGTGCGAATGAAGTGTTACTCCCAGCGGCGTAATTATGAAGTTACGCATACGACATTCGCACGACGGAGGTAGTTCGTGCACTTTGTGAAATGTGCAGCTGATGTTAAACTCGCCGGTATCGAATTTACGTCGCGTGCGGATTAAGAGAAATGTCCCCTTCGCACAGAATAAAACGAGTCATTTCGGGCGAGCTTGACGAACACGATGGATTTTTCACCGACGAACGCTCGACATTGATTACCGGATTTGCCGTTTATTAGAACATTCGCTATCGGCGTCGCACATACGCGGCGCATCGATCTCTCAACGATCAACCCCATCTCATCTTTATTTAAATCTATTTTTAAACCTATTTGATATGTCCGTTACTAACGTCAAATATGTAACAACGATAATTCACCTTTCTGTATTCACATGAAAAAATCAAGTTCGTTTTACTCGTTTATAAAAAACAAGAGAGAGAAAAAAAAGAGAGAGAGAGAGAGAGACTATATAACGCAATGTGATTTATGGGGAGAGTTTTCCAGATAAATGGATAAGTGGAAACCGGGAAAAAACGATTTGGCATGAATTTTGTCTCTACACATCCACGTATAATTATACGTGGGTTTCCATATAATTGTATCTAATTTACATATAATAACATAATTTTATATAATTAATTTGTCATTGTATAAAACTTCACGTATGATTATATATTAATTACGTAAAGTATATAACCATGAAATTTTATACAATATAATTACATGCAATCTGCCTCTCTCTCTCTCTCTCTCTCTCTCTCTCTCTCTCTCTCTCTCTCTCTCTCACTTTTTTTCCTCGAATAATCTGTGAATTTTATCGAGTGCGATAATTGACGCTTCATTCACCAACGATGGTCAACCGTGGTCAAGCGTGATATTGGAAAGGGTCATGAGCACATACCTGAGTGCTCCACTGGCGATTCCGCAGGACTGCACACATTTGTCGCGCGATCTTGCATTCGCGCACGAGTGCATCTCTTGAGTCAGTCTGCAGGTGTTGTTGCCCTTCGACGGCGGCACGTCGATCAGATTCACTTGCAGCGTCCACTCGGCGCGCTTCTCCTCGCCCCATTTTAATTTCAGTCTGGTGAACAAGCCGATACACCGCGTCATGCTCGCGCGACAAGAGAATTTTCGCCCCGTGCACGGGCGAGGTGTCGATACGCGTCCAGCTGAGTGGCGCGATCGAGACAGGAGTCTCATCGCGCCGCTGGTCTTCGGCAGTTCGCGCGCTTAATATGCGGGAGTAACTCGACGTCGCCGGTGAAAGGTTCACGATAAATGGAAACTTGTCAGTGTTTCCAGTCGAGATCGTTTTTCACGCGCCCGTCTCCGGTATCTTAACTCAGCGATTATCACGCTAATTTTCGTGGAATATGTTCCGAAGCTTCCTCTCGAGGTGTCTTTATGAATAAAAATTTCACTGAAAAAGTTGTTTAACAACCGAGAAAAAAAAGAGATGACTCTTCATTCGTGGGCAGTGACTTGCTCCATTCTGAATTTCGTCGAGTAAATATCTTGCATGAATAAAGTATATTGTGATAAAATATTAACAATTCACGCCAAGGTTTAAGTCAAATATTCACTCTTGTGGATTTCCATTTGTTTTGGTCGAAACTTCACTCTCCGAGAAATTTAGAGAGTAACTAAAGTTTTTGGGCAATCGAATTTGAGGTAAGTTCGCGAAGCGAATATATATATATCTGCCGGCTATTTGACCAGAGCTTCCTATTTGCATATTTGATTCGTTAAGAGCAATTAGCTATGCTTTACGCGTTAATAAAACCGAATCATAATGCCGATCGACCGGTGATATCCCCAAGGAGCGATCAACGTGTTAATATTCAATACGCTCTTTCGAGGATATCGATCAGATTGATTCTACGTCTGGTTTCATTACTCGTTCTCTCACTTGAGCATGTTCGAATATGTGCATGTATCTATATAATAGCGGCTTTCTCGTATCAAAAATTTCAGTCGATCGCGAGGATTACGATATTACTTTTCGCTCACATCTTCTGTATCAACAAACACCGAATATACTCAGGCCAGGCCAGAAAAGATATCCGTGCGACGATAATAACACTTCGTTTTTTCCACGGCGAAATGTCAATCTGCATTAGCGCAAAGAGTTTATTCTCGCGCGACGTCGAGCCATTTGCAAAAGCGAAATGCTCAGGGAGGAAGACTGTTCTTCCCGTTTGATCTTTTTACTCACAGAATGGTGGCGGGCTCAGAGCGCAACAACGTCTCGTTCGATACGTAGACGATGCCGCTTCGCTGGGTGACGTCGAAGGCGCTTGACCCGTTTAGGACAAAAGTTCGCGAGGACCACAGGTTCACCGCCTGTTCCGTCACGCGAAAGTACCTCGGCGAGAGCCGCGCGATCATCACACTCGTGGGGAACAAGACCGGCTCCAGCGTCGTCGGGGCTGATGATGATGACTTCTTGGTCGTGGAAATTCGGTGCACCGGGCCCGTGAACGATACACTGATGTTCGCCTGAGGAAATGGGAAGTACTTCGGATCGGCTTAGTTCGAGGTGGAAAGCCGAGCTGGGAGGAAGTTGATTCCTCGAGGGATTCCTCGAATGTGGGAAGATTGAGCTATGAATTTTGCACGATCGATCATCGCTTCGTTTAATTATTACTTAAGCAACGACCGAGCTATTTATTATATTATTGCTCATCGAAGCCTGGACGTAAGCCCTTTTTATTCGTCCCCGTTATTCGCACGTCGATCCTTTTCGATGTCGCCTGGAGGGTGAATAAGAAGGAACCTGTAGCTCGTAGAAAGTTGCGCAATGATTAATGGTGCGAGGATTGGTTCTCGGTTGAGAGAGGTGTTATGGAGAACTGGAAAATGCACAGCATTCCCGCTGTGAAAATCGACTTCTCGTTTTCCATACCTGTCGATATGAGTTTTTCCTTCACACCGACGTGTTTGTTCTTCACATATTTTCCCGTCCTCCATGTCTTCGTAATGGATTCTCGGTTATCCATGCAATAATTCGCGATTATCTCAAAACGAGCGAGAAATCTCGGAAAAGTTTTCGAACATACGAAAGCAATCAACGAGTCGTGACTCGAGAACGATTGGCCGGCAGTGATCTTGCGAGAAACCGTAAGAGACGGTGTGTCACCGCGGGGAATCGATATTAAAGGCCACCGCGGACACAATTGCTACGTGACGCTCTTTATTAGAATTTATCGTTCTTCGTTCCTGGTACACCTATAGAACGAGAACGTAGAGAGGGAAAAGTCCTCTCGGTACTTAAGCGCGTCCAATCTTTCTTCGAGCGACGTGCAAGGACTGCGAACAAATCCATATCTCGACTCACTGACGACACTGCACGACACACAACCGTGTTTTTCCGTCGTTCATGACGCCTCATCATAAAAAATCTCTTTCCCCTAACGTGCAATTATTCTTGACCTAAAAACGTGAAACAAAAACGCGACCGTCAAATATTGATTTTGCGTGCATTTCTCTCTTCGATGGCTTCCACTTAATTTTTCACAAATATTTTCACAAACATTATCCGACAATATAATGTTTTCCTGAATATTGTAAAAGTATACCGAAATTAATGATGATGAGATGTTGATATTGATAACATTCAAAAGCGTACACATTCGCAAACATTTGCACCGATCATCGACATTATCATCTTCCCGCGGGGAAAAACGACTCGCCATCCTCTCATATTGGCCGAAATGAATGATCAGAGGGACTGAAAATAATTCAAGACCGTCGGATATGTAATAATAACTCGCAACTTCCTGCTCCACGACGGGGATCCGCGAGCGCGCGAGTTTCGTCGGGAAGCTAAACCCGAACCCTCACCTGAACCCGAAGGTGTCGCGTCCTGAGAGGTGAAACGAGATCGGCGTTATCGAGCCAGCGCAATTCAAGACACGGCCCAGTTTAAGGGTCACGCGATATATTAGGAACAGGTCGCCGTGGCCGCGTGGATACCGCCGTCGAGATTTATTTTGCCCGCGCGGTTTCAATTTAAGCGCGCGCGCGCGGATGATGTAGGGTATCCATTAAAGGTGCACGAGAACGCCGTCGGATCGCTATATATACGCGAGTCGCGCCTCGAATTAGAACGAACGGCCGCGCGATTATTATCGCGCATCGCAGCGTGCGCGCGCTAATCGTTGTACCCCTTTTTCCAATTACACGTTCGGCGGCGGCCTGTGTGACGTGCGTCTCGCGTGTCGCGCGTAAAATACCCGGCGTTTAATATCGCGGCCGCTCCGCGGCATTAAACGCGCATCTACGGGCTGTTTTGTCTCTCCGGCGGAGCCCGTCTCTCTGCGACAATTTAATCGCGCCTTCGCTTTTTAGCAGTCACGGCAAGAGCCCGCCGCGACGCACGGATTATAATCTCACGATTGAGTGGGTCGTTGTGAAGTGTCGCGGACGAAACGCGAGAGTACCTTTAAACCTTACGCTCCGAGACGTGGCTCAGCTGCAGTCTCTCCTTCTCTCCCTGTTTCGACACCAATTGTTTCACACTCCGCGTGAATTCGAATCCCCGCGATATGATTAAGCATTCCCGCCGCGCGAGTCCGCGGGCGGAATATTTGGAAATTGCATTCTGCGGCGGTGTTTACTCATGCATATTGCGCTCCGCGCCAACAGTTTTTCCGCGATGATTCTTTGGAAATCAGATCGTCGGACCGAACGCGCGCGCTCAAAGTAGCCCGAATATTTCGCCCGACACGATGAGGCGGTCTTTTTATCGCAGGGGTGAAGGGGTGGGTTTTGCGGGTTTTGGGAAGGAACGTCGCGGCTCACGCCGCGTTTTACGACGTTCGTGATATTCCAAACGAAGCTCGGCTTCGGCAATAAGCGACTTACGCCCACGTGCCATTTTCACGTGGCTATTAATTCGCGATTAGCCACCTCCGCGAAATCAATGCCACACCCAAGGCGCCCCAGCAAGGCGGGATTTCAGCACCTAATTGTTTAATGACCTCCAATTATACCGCAGCGGCGCCGGCGCCCGGGGTTCACCGATCCTAGGCACGGCTAATCGCGACTAATGAGCTCCCTTATCATTCGACTTCCTCGATACAAGCCGCCGAGCTCGATGTCGTCTCACACGGCTGAGAGCTGGTGAACTTGAATGTAAACGAGGGGAGATTTGCACCTGAAAGGGACGCTCGCGGATACGTACTCTTGGCAACGTGCTTCGGGTCGCATTCGATTCACAAAGGAGCGCGAGCAAATTAAAAGTGCACAATTGTCGGCAGAGGCTTTACTCTCTGATCGAAACGAGCGGTCTCGGAATTCACGGAACGGTCTAATTGCTTCGTTACACGGCGATATAAATATTTATATGTCGCGATAACGAGCAATCTCTCCTGGACTTTCGTCATCGGCCGGTGGACACGTAAAATCCTGGAAAAACGTACCGAAATTCCGTAATGTGGTGCAACGTCCAGAAAAGGCACGATCTCGAAATTCGAGTTCTGAAACACACAACTTTTCCGAAACATTCGAATTTTATACGTCCACATATTTTCGCAATATTTTGAATATTACATTTCACATGTTATCGAATATGTGTTTCGGTAAAATTATTTTTCTCATATTGTCCCGTTGTATCGATTACACGGTTCAGTATTGTCATTTCAGGACATCCTATACTTGACAATATTTATAAATTTATTATACTTTACAATATTTCCCGAGATTTGCGTTTCGGGACGTAGTCGCGGTTAGTTCAAATTTCAGGATTATGATTTTTCGCGTGTCCACCCCGATGGCGATCGCGTTCGCCGACGCAATTCGTATTCACTGCGGATGGATGGAAACGCGAAATTGACTTCTGACGGGTTCTGCGAGTTCGTTTTCCCTGAGTGACTGTGAATCTCGAGTGCTAAAAAGATCCAGCTTCCTCTCTCCCTCTCTCTCTCTCTCTCCTCTTTTCTCCTCTCTCTCTCTCTCTCTCTCTCTCTCTCTCTCTCTCTCTCTCTCTCACCATGACAGAGCAAACGTCTTAATATATACACTCTTCGTATATTGGCGGGAGCGATTCCTTCGAATTATAGGATCAGCGTGGCGCACTCTCGTCCGAGTTTTTCAACCGCGTCGTTCGCAAAGGACGGTGGGATATCGGAAGGCTCCTGTCGATATCGCGGGATTTATAGCGGACGTGGCGAACTTTTTTGATCGGACCACAGATCCCCAGCGGGCCGGCAACGGCGATGGTGGCAGCGGCACGCTGCGCGCCGCGCTCTTTGTCCATTTCGACGAATGACCAGTGCATCACGAGGAATTCCGATCCGTACTGTACGATGGCATTAATTCAATTTTCACGCGACGCCGCAATATTCAATCGAAATCGTAAATTAATTATTTTGTGCAGTCTGCAGACGGAAATCATGCCCCGAGCCCCCTGCGTTTGTTTCGATCAGAGGGAAATCCGATTTCTTTGAACAATTCGCACGTGACTGCGCGTCGACATCAATCTCAAGCTCAAGCGAGTCGCGTTTTCGCTAAATATGCACCATAGGCAGCGAGCAGAAGCCACTTTGATCGCCAACGCCAACGCGGGGAAGAGCCGAAGGAGCTCGGCTCGCCTTCAACAACGTGATCCTTCGTGCGAAATCGACCGTCAGGCCGCGCGAGCGGTGTCCTTTCTTGGACATATTGCAAATGGAGCGAATGTTTCAAGTTTAATCGGCGAACGACCTGTCCGCGACGTTAGAATCAATAGACTGCCGGCTTGGACTCACCGTATTCGGTCCGTACCGCGGGAGAAGCGACTCGTCGATGGCCTGTATGGTCACGTTGTACGGCGATTTCGGCAGCAACGTCTTCCTGGCGTCGATACCTGGAAAATTTCCATTACGAATTTCCGATCACGAGCGTGCGGCACATGCAAGCAAGAGAGAATTGTCTCTGTGCAGTGTCCCGCGGACTCGTTGCTCTACGGCGGCGGGGGGGGGGGGAGGAGGAGAGGGAATGCGAATACTCACTGACGACAATAACGGTGAAAGGTGCCTTGTTCGGATGGTGCTTGGAATGCTCAATCGGCAGCGTCTGGTGACTGATCCTGAAGGCGTTGTGGGTGTCCCCGAGCAGCAGGACGTTGTACCGGTTGGTAGTCATCGCGTCGGCGTCCGACAGGATCAAAGTGTTGATCAACGTGGCGCCCTATAGGGAACATTCGCGCCTGCGTGTCTTACTGTCGAAGTTTCTCGAGGGAGAGATCAATTCGGAAAACGAGTGAAGAAATCTCATTTGAGCGATGATGAAAGCATCACCTCACCGCTCGGGATCGCGAGAGAGATGTTTGACTTATAATAGATATCTGAGACGATGCGCTCTCGAACGTTTCAATCGATTGGAGTGAACGTGTTCCTCCGACGACGGGCTGCATCAGGTTCGCTCTTTAATTTCGACTGAGAGAAGGTTCGCTCGGCGATTCAGAGCGGAGATTTCACGCCATATGACGGGCGAATCGCTCGAATGACTCGCTCGAGTGACTCGGTGGTAGTTTTCGAGCGGAATTTCGCTGGAGGAGATTTCGAAGTGTCAGGATTGTAAATACACGGCGCTCTTTCTTCTTTTTTTTTTCTTAGATGTACGTGCTCGATAATCGGTGTTCGCGTTATTGCTTCGGAAAAGACGTCCCGGCGATCGGTAGTCTCTGACTGAACTCTGATTGGTTCTCGTCAAGGAGGGTAAGACAGCCAAGAGGACCGTCGAGTTGCTCCTGGGGATGCTGAGTTTCGAGTCTTTTCACTGCGCTTCGCGATTCGACGCGACGGGATTTCGATTAACCGATCGCGCGTTCGAACTTCGCCCATTAAGTCTCCGACTTTCGCGGAAGTTCCTCAGGTGTCTCGACGCCCGGATATAACAATATAATCTCGTTTTTCATGGAAACCAGGATACGAACGATGAGAGATGTAACGGCTGCGAGGGTGAGGAAGAGAGAAAGAGGAAAGAAGAAAGACAAAGAATGACGTTTGGCGAAGAGCGCAAAGCGGGGGGAGAGGAAGTTCGGCGCTTTCGTCGGAAAACGAGGCACCCCGGGGTTTAATCAGGATTAGTCGAGGAGAAACTCCTCCTCTCGCCTTGTCCCTCGGTATCCTTCGTCGCGCGCGCGCGCGCGCGCGCGTCTTTTGTGGCTGGCTCGTCGCACTTCCTTTTTATTATTACCGGCGCGCCGCTCAAAACAGCAGCGCCGGTAATTACGCGAACAATGAGCGCGTGATTAAGTCGTCTCTCGCTTCCGACGTGGCGCGCGTTGAGAAACGAGATTCGTCCGCGGGGAAACACTCTGAAATTCGTCGGATAAAACGCTCCGGGTGTGAAGCAACCGAGTGAGACGCGTCGGCCGGAGGGATAAGGACCTGCTGGAATTGTACGGGCACGCGCGTCAAACGCGACACGCAGCTCGCCGTAACGCGTGTAACGCGAACAGACGTCTTTTGCACGCGGACCAGGTTGCTTTACTTGCTTGCGATTCTTGCCTGTATCCTTATATCTGGATCTGCCGGTGTTAATATTTACGGATGATCGGGAAGCGATCGATGTTCTCGATGGGAGTCTGTTTCGTTTTTGTCACCATTTGAAAAATGCTCTGTCGAGTTGGAATATTCGCGAAAGAAAATCACGTTTCTACATAAGCCTGAGATATTAATGCTTCGTCTACGCTCACACTTGTTTTACACATGTTGCATTTATGGCGAGAGATTTTGGAATCAAATTAATATTCCCGCACAGAGGGAATCTCGGCGCAGCTGGGATATTATATTCATACCGAAATCCAACTTTATTATGGCATTTCACGGCAATTAATTAACAGTTAATTCCGAGTGTCTTTCTAACTGCACGACATGAACATTTACACTGCACGTGAACTGTACGCAGTTTCCCACACTTCCCTTCGAATGTTTGGAGTGATACGGAGTAGATCTCTTAGCCCGGCCGAGCTTTCTCGGTGCAAGAATATCAATATTTCACCAACGTTAAAATTCTGCCCTGTAATATTCCCGGCTCTCGTTCCTCCGACTGTTCCACGAGGGAAAATAATCGTCCGCACTCGAGACTCGATTCTGCCCCGGACGACTGAACGTCGAGTGTTACAAGTGTGTAGGAGCCACGATACAGACGAACGACGAGTTTACGCCGTCGCGGATGGCGGACCCCCCGACTTCGATTCGACAACGGCAAGTTAATCGACTTCGAGCCACTCGGGCGGGCACAATGGGCGTTAATTCAATAGTCCCGGTCACAATCTCGATCATTCAACGATACACCCGCAAATCGATCTACTCACCGTGCTGAAGTCTTCGAGTTCTTTTACGATGGAATTATTGCCCTGCATGGAAGGAGGATTGTCGTCCTCATCCAGGATGTCGATGGCGATGACTTTCGTCTGCGTGTACTGTCGGCCGCTCGTCTCCCAGATGACACAGTTCACCTCCACCATCACGAGAGGTCCGGGCCCGCTCAGATTGTTCTGGTCCAAGGACGCGTTCGCGGACGTCATGTGAGGCACGGATGTGTCCAGGATGTCCCGGTCCAAGGACGCGTTCGCGAACAGCATACCGTCGACGGCGTGAAAGTACTTCGTTCCTGGAAGAACGAGAACGGATCCTTGCCCGTTATTCTCGCGATATCGGTTGCTCCAATGACAGCGTTCGGTACGGCGCTACGGAAAATTGAGCCGTAACAGCCCCGCCCGGGCATCTCGCCGGCACTGATTAACATAATCGAGGAGGTTCCCGGAACGACGGTGTTGCGAATGTCCGGCCGAATCTGCAATCTGGCGGAAAAGCGCAGTCGACATTTCATCCGCGCGGCAGGAAGCGCTTTGCGACGTCGTTTGCGACGAGCGCGAGCCGCGGCTCGCCTCGTTGTGTTACCTGGAGGAATTTAATAGTCGCGTATCCCGTTATTTTTCAACTGACGCTTTCTCGCGGAAACGTCGCGTATGAAATATAGCGCGCGCAACATTTTCCCGATGGCTGGCTCTTCAATTGTATTCAACGGCGGAAAAATAAAATTCAAAACGCCGCGGAGGAGCGGGCCCGGGAATTTGATGTATGGCTGCTCGCGCACAAAAAAAGCCGGGAGTTGCCGTTGTTGTACGTATTATGTCACGGACAGGGTAACGACATCCTCTCTCGGCGAATTTTAATAACGACAGCTCTCTCGCTGTCGGCCGAGCCCGCGATGGTGCAGCTTTTCGGCATCACGCGCTCGCCGCGCGCGCAGGTGGATACGCGCCGATAAATTTATTCGTATTTCACGTTCAACTGAGCTCGATCAATCACCGCTCGCGTTGCTCGCCGTCCGGGCTTTGTCAGTGAAAAATGCTCGATCTTCAAACCGAGAGATTTATATATCTTGCAAACAGAAAGCCGATGAGACACCTCGGCGAAGGGCACTGGAGCGCCGATTCATCAACAGGAACGAATCCGCCGCGAGGAGCATCCGATGGCGAGACCTTATTTGCTAAATCCCGAAATGCCCGCGCCAGTTCATTTCGCCAGTTATGCTGGACGATCTCTCGGAAAGTTGCGCGCGAGAAGTCGGCTTCGCGGTCGGGGTCGTCGATCATGCGCGATGACAGCGCGAAGCAACTTGAAAATCACGCGCGCGTGGACCGCAAATCCACGGGAGAAAGAAAGGGAAACGAAGGTGTGTTACCGGAGATACTTGCCGTTCAATAACTCATATCTGGTGACGTTGAATTCGGGGCACACGTAGCCGTACGCCTCCGGACCGAACGTGCCAATCATGGTGACCGGTTGATTCTCGTAAATCTTGTATATGGACGTGTTCCAAAAGCACATGTCCTGCAACACTGGAAACCTTGTGGAGCAACGCACGCCTCGGGTAAAATATGTCACGACGTGTTAACCCCATTAATGATCGATTATCTTTGCCCAAGTGTCAAAGTGATTTTCACGATCGTCGAGATCGTGGTATATCACTCAAATGCATCGCGGTGATGCACGTTGTCGTAGAATTCTCCGATAGCCCGAATCGATTTTCAATATCTCGCAATACGAATTACCTGCATAGAAAATTTCTCGATATCTAATTGGTATTTGGTCCGATTTTCTGAAATTCACATAGATTCGGACTAAAAATATAACATTTCAGATACGCGACTCTATGCGGGGGCTTCAGAGTTGGTAGTGTCGGTAATTTTTTGCTCTTCATTAAAATTTGATTCTTCATTTTTTATTCTATTGAGTATAATATTGGCATCACAAAGTAGGATTCCTCTTTGATACCGTAAAAATATACCGACTGCAAAAAATATGCGAGTTTCCGCATAATATATTCTGGTTTCGATTTTAGATAGAAAACCCGCACGAAATAAGAATGGGGATTCTAATCGGGGCTTATACGCCGCATCCGGCAGAATCGTGGAAACTTTCTATGCGAGTACACGAGATATTCGGAGAGAGCAGAAGCTCGACGTACGACGACTTACCTGCAAAAAGTCCGTACAATCGATCGTTTTCGTCGTTACTGCCACTGGTTGCACTAATATATCGAGCACCGCCTTGTCGAAACTCGTCTCGCTCGCCTCGACGATGATAGAGCCGGTGCCTTGCGGAAAAACAACGCAACGATGAAAAATGTAACGTGCCCGGCCAGGGCTACGCGTTACGTCTTGCGATTTATTGCGACGCAATTTGACGAAATTCCGGTCGCCCCCGCGCTAATAAAAATTCACCCACCATTCACCGGAAGGCTCTGCAGCACGATATTGCTACTGTTCTCCTGCTGGATCGCGAAGTTCTGCGGGTCTGTTCTGAGTCGATACTCTACGTTTTTCGGCGTCGTGGAGTCGTCGCGGAGAGTCCTCAGGTCGACCAACTTCACCCGCGGCAAGACTGCCGCGCCGTGTTGCGCCAAGTACGGTAGCCTCAGCGTCAGATTCGATTGCGGGAAGTAGAGACCTGAAACGACAAGGAGAAAAGAGGAATGTTCTTATTCTCTGGTACTTTTCATCGACGGATTACTTTTCTCGGAAAGAATTTGCGGATCATCCTCTTAGGCTAACAATCGGATATCGTTCCCGAAAGTTGCGCCCGGGAATAATAGCCCTCCACCCCCTCTCGGCCCGTATAAATTCACCATTGAACGACCTGAACCGGTAGCTGGTCGCCGGAAGCGTAGGCGAGCGCGGTCAAATTTCGGAAAGCCCCGCGAGAGAGAGAGAGAGAGAGAGAGGGAAAGGGGGAGAGGATAGCTCTCTTCTCTCTCTCTCGTGCGCGCGCGGTGTATACACTCCGATTTCGCCGATTTGGTCGGCAATTTCGCGAATACTCGTCGCGCAGTGATTTGCCGAGCGAAAACGCTACTTGATACACCCCGCGGCTCTTTGCCGTCCCTGGCGCTCGAAAAATTGACGGAGCGCGCGCGATGCTGTGTTCGTGACAGCGGCAGCAAAATAAAAGCAAAAACGTCGGTTCCGCCGTTAAAGCGCCAGTGCCAACGTGATGATCACTTCAGCGGACGTTTTTACCGGTTTTTGTAAAGTCGCTCCGGAAATAAGCTCGCTGATTCTCCTTTTTTCGCCACACGCTAAATCGCCGTATAAAAACCGGCCTTTATCTCTCCCCTCCTCCTCTCTCTGACTCCCGCTGTCTCCAGGTAATCGTTTCTTTTACAAAAATACTTGCAATGCAGTTCCTGCTCACGAGGATAGCGAAGCGCACTTAATGTCGAATGTATGGCGACACGTGCGACAAGAAACGCATTGAAGTACAATTCCCCGTCGTCTGCTGTTCCCACCCTCCTTAGAAATTGGAAATGGAAATGCAACGGTGCCGCGCAACACCTTGCATCGAGCTTAAATAAACGAAGCGCCGCCGTCTATTAGAATCGGGATTCAATTTCGTCGTCGCGCGCACTGGCAAACACGAGGCTCGCCCTCGCGAGCAGCCCATCCCGGATGCATATTTCATCCCCGCGCGGGGGATGCATTTGCATCTGTCGCGAAACGCGAGTGCACGAGAGCAACAGTTTTTCGCCGCATCGCCGACGCGGCGGTTGAAAAGTCGCGCGGGGCCAATTCCCCGGAATGGGAAAAGGGTTCTCCCGCGGACGACGGGTCATACTTTTTCCTTCCCTCTCTCTTTCATTAACGATGCCGGAAGGATTCTTTCCGCGAGCCTTCGGTCCCGCATAAGGACTCCCGTATGCGCATACAGTCGCTCCTCCGAACGGCCGGAGCGTGTTCAGCCGGCGGAATGCGCGCCACGGTTGAATAAAATATGCGAGACGATCTAAAGGCTGTCTGGAACGGCACATACGATCCGCGCGATGTATAGCGCTGAAGCCGACTGTGCGACTGTGCGACGTCTCGGCCGTGTGTCGCGGTAACTTACGCGTAACACCGGAGCTCTCGAGATCGCCATCGCTGGGTCCGACGACTGAATTACGTCGCGGTGACCGATTCTCTTTCCGCAGCTACACGCTTTCTTTCCTTTCTTCCCTCTCTCTCTCTCTCTCTCTCTCTCTCTCTCTCTCTCTCTCTCTCTCTCTCTCTCTCTTTGTTTCTCCGTCATACGTCATAAATTGTAGAACGATAAACGCCGCAATGGCGGGAAAAACTCACGCCCTCCAGAGTGCGCAATTTCAGAACCCGAGACACGGCGGGCGCGCGTGTGTGGCGACGAGAGATAGAAGCCGTTTGTTTCAAAAGCGAGATGTAAGTCCAATCTTGCGGCGTATAAATTTCAACGGGATGGGGATGCGTGATGCGGCCGGCGTTTAGCGAGGATCTTCGAAATGAACTCTGTAGTATTCATAGAATAGATAGAAAATACGGCGGATTAAATATGAGGCGATGCGTCTTTGCCACCTGCGAGGCGGTTTGCGGCGATACTTCGCCGCTTTTTCAGCCGTGTTTGCTTCGGCAATAATAACGAAACTGTGCGTGTGCGAACGAATGATTTGCCATCGTTACACTTTCTGGCTTACCAGAAAGGCACTTTCTGGCTTGGCAGAGAAAAGAAGGATTTCCACTGATAAGTGAAGTTGTCGGATCCTGCTTCTGCAAAGATCCTTTGCGCCTTTGCAGAGGCAGGATCCGACAATCCTTTAAGACTCCTGGTCCTTTGAGCCAACAAGGTCATCGACAAAGGGATGGACTTTTGCGAGTCTCTAATACATAAAAGCGCCTACACATCTGTGAGATGAAGGATAGTTTCTCACTCTAATCTTGTAACACGCCGCTTCGGGACAAACAAGATAATATAGCAGCTACTTTCACAATGGCCGTCGGGAAAGTGTTTCGCGCAGCGTCAAGAGTCACCGACGTCACGCGAGTCCGCGCCGAAAGTCCGCGAGTTCTGGCTCTGATCCTTATGGGTGGGCGGGATCCTTATTCGACGAGCGTTTCCAATTTCGAGCGGAATGGACACTCGGCGATACCCGGTATATCCTACGATAGAGTCTCTACGGTATCGACTCTATCGCGCCAGACTAGTCCGATGCTCGCTCGCCCACGCACAGGATGATATTACTCCCCCAAGTGCGATTGTCAAGGACGACTGGAGAATTCGAGAAACGCGTCGCCGCCGGTGCCGTACACAGGAAGAAAAAAATCTCAGGCTAACTGAGCAGAGGAAGACGCACAATTCGGGAGGGAGCGATGTCTCTGTTATCACACAGCTGAAAACCTTCATCTAGACCTTCGTTTAGCAATCTGAAGGTCTCGTTTGAGATAACTGAGAGCGCAACTGCGTACAAGTCTGCTACACGGTCATCTTGTAATTGAATTTTCGTCTGGCCCGTAGATAAAGTTAGCGTCACACGATGGGCGATTTCATACCTCTCTCGACATGCACGCTGGCCGACGACGTTGCAGACAGCTCGGTTCGCCGCACAGGTCTCCCCAATGCACGGCAGCGATTCGGCAGTGAGCTGAATGTGCCAGTCAACAACACGTCGCACGTCGGAAGGCATGAAATCGTGCATCAGACGTTACCTTCGCACGGAAGGAAATTAGTCGCGCGAAGCGACTGTTCGCATTTTCGAGTGTACGTCGAGTTTTACAATGGTACGCTAACAGTGTTAAGTCTCGGCTTTCGGCTTAATATTCGCAAAGTGTCTGCCGCGAGGTCGCATAAAATACAACGATCCGACACGGATAGACGACCAACAACGACGGCGGCGGCGGCGGCGTCTAATTTCGCTATTTGCGCGAAGGTTCAATGCCGAGAGAGCGAGGAGAGGCGTGTTGCGTCGAGGTCGAGCTCCTCTCCCTCGGAAACCTCCTTCGCGTGCAGCAGTCGTCTGCGGAGGAACGAAGCAACGTACGAGCGCGTACGAACGAACCTACACCTACCTCCCGGTGTCAAGGTGAGAGAGCGAGCGTGCAATCAATATACGCCGAGCGGCTGTTAATTTTAATCCGCGGATCGCGTGTACGGCCTGATACAGACAGAACGATTACGAGCGCTTTTACGAGAGGCCACCCCTCCTACGCGGCACACAACCCCGAAAAGTCCACTCGCACGGATACGCGCGCATACGCGGCTGTACAGGGTGTCCCCGGAAGTCGCGATCTTTCCGACCGGCGAATCCGTGTTCAACGGTGATCTCCAGCGATTAACCACCTTCGAATTAATGATCTGCCCTTCCGGTGCCGATCAATCGTCTCGTCCGCGCCGGCATAATCGACGTGTCGGTAATCGAATGCACGTGCCGTCCGTAAGAAATGTACGTCCGCGCGCGGATCACCGAGTGTTCTCTCCTCCTTCTCTCGTGGCTACATCAGCACCGATGAGGAGACATATTCAGTATGGATCGTTAATTTGAATAGTAATTTCCTACCTCCATATGTCGGAATGAGAGAACAATTAATTCCGCGACCCGGGGGTAAAAGTACGTCGTCCTGGCGCGACACGTTTCCTTCATCCTCCTTTCCCCCTTTCTCTCTCTCTCTCTCTCTCTCTCTCGAAGATGTAGAACGAAATTATCTGCTCTTTCCATCTCCCGAGATGCGGATTCAGGTCTTCGTAAAATCCAAACATTGTTAATCCCTCAGCGTTTCTTTTGTCCCACTTGTGGAACGTTTCTTTTCTATTGGCGGGGACCATTTGATTAATTTATGATTTTATTTTTAACGTTCCCAGTAATTCCCTGTTACGCATTCGATAAAAATAGTCGCGATACGAATTTCGAGGAAATGAAGAGAGACTGGATCATTTAATCGAAGGATGATCGTAAAATAATATCGTCGTCCTTAGTATAAAAAATCCGACGCATGTTGGCGATTTTACCCGCGCGACGTTTCGTTTATCAAAATCTTTCGATGTATTCGCGCGCACGGTGCTTGGTCACCGAACAAACGCCGTTTTATCGCGAAACCGTGTGCGAGTGCGTTGCAGGCACGTGTGCGAGTGTTGCAGGTACACCCGGTGCAGGCAACGGTGCGTATCCGAGACGCGATCGACCGTAGGGGGAGCTCTTCGCATGTTAAGCGGAGTAGCGTTTGCATATTCAAGAGCGGATAACGCCGCGAAGGCAGATACGTCTCGCAGACGTCTGTCTCTCTCTCTCTCTCTCTCTCTCTCTCTCTCTCTCTCTCTCTCTCTCTCTCTCTCTCTCTCTCTCTCTCTCTCTCTCTCTCTCTCTCTCTTTGTCTTTTCGTATAATTAAATTCTTGGCGCCAATGTCAAGCTCCGAGTCATTGGAATACTTAGATCCTCGAAATATAATATTACCCGAAATATTTCGTTCTGGTAAAAATCGCTCCGAACTCCTTGCCCCCTTCTCTCTTGTTTCCTCTGCAGACAAAAATATCGAGTTAAAAATTCAATTATGATCGGCTCAAAATCCAGCGACGGTTCTTACCAGCCTATCATTTTCGCCGTTCGTGCACCACCGAAGCTTTTCAAATCACATCTCCCTTTGATGAAAAACAACAACGCTGAAGTATTTAAAG